CAGCCGCCCCCCCCGCAGCGCAGCGTCTCGGACAACGCGCTGGTCGCCATGGACTTCTCGGGCTGCACCGGCCGCGTGCTCGAGAGCCCCGGCGAGGCGCTCACGGCGGCGCTGGAGGAGGCGCAGGCCTGGAGGGTGAGGGGGGCGCGGACCCCTGGGGGGGTGTCGGGGGGATCCCCTGGGAGGTGCGGGGGGGACCCTGGGAGGTGAGAGCAGGGGGGGCGCAGACTCCCTGGAGGGTCACAGTTGGGGGGGGAGGCGTGCGGACCCCCTGGAGGGGGAGTGTGGGGTGGGGGGCACACGCGCACCCCACTGCGGGCGCCGCTGATGCCCCCCCCCACCCCGGCCGCCAGAGGAAGACAACGCAGCGGTACAGCCTGCCCACCGGCTGCCACGGGCCCCCGCTCAGCGCCGGTGAGAAGGGGCTGCAGCCCCCTGGGGGGGGGATACGTCCTGGACCCCCCACCCCTCACACAGCCCCTGTCCCCGCAGCCATCCACCGCACCCAGCCCTGGTTCCACGGGCGCCTCTCCCGCGAGGACACCCAGCAGCTCATCGGCCGGCAGGGCCTGGTGGATGGGTACGGAACGGGGCAGGGGGCACGGGACACCCCAGGGCACATGGGACCTGGGGGCTGGCGGGGGCCGTGGGACACCCCAGGGCACACGGGACCTGGGGGGATATGGGACCCAGGGGCTGGCAGGGAATATGGGATCCCTGGGGATATGGGATCCCCAGGGATACAGAACCACCAGGGATATGGGACCCCTAGGGATAAAAGTCCTGAAGGGAAATATGGGACCCTAGGGGGTCCAGGGGTGTCCGGAGCACCCGGTGACACCACTCTGGGACTTGCAGCGTCTTCCTGGTGCGGGAGAGTCAGCGCAACCCCAAGGGCTTCGTGCTGTCCCTGTGCCACCTGCAGAAGGTCAAGCACTATCTCATCCTGCCGGTGAGTGCGGGGGGCCGGGGGGGCCGGGGGGGGCAGGATGCCGACGCCCGCGCTGACACTGCGTCCGCAGAGCGAGGAGGAGGGTCGGCTCTACTTCACCATGGACGACGGGCAGACCCGCTTCGCCGACCTCATCCAGCTCGTGGAGTTCCACCAGATCAACCGGGGCATCCTGCCCTGCAAGCTGCGCCACTACTGCACTTGTGTGGCCCTCTGAGCCGCCGCGGCACGGCCGGCGCGGCGCCCACCTGCACGGGACACGGGCCGGTGCGGCCAGCACGGCAGGACCTGCACAGCACAGCCGGCATGGCACAGTCCTGCATGGCCAGCACGGCAGGACCTGCATGGCCAGCATGGCACAGTCCTGCACGGCACAGCCGGCATGGCACAGTCCTGCATGGCCAGCACGGCAGGACCTGCACGGCAGGACCTGCATGGCCAGCATGGCACAGTCCTGCACGGCACAGCCAGCATGGCACGGTCCTGCATGGCCAGCACGGCAAGACCTGCACAGCACAGCCAGCGTGACACAGGCTGGCACGGCCGGCACGGCACAGCCAGCACGGCCAGCAGGGCACAGCCAGGATGGCACAGCCAACCTGCCACGCTCCTGCATGGCACAACTGGCCAGGCCTGGCCCGCACGGCACAGTCCTGCACAGCGTGGCCAGCTCAGCACGGCGGGACGGCACGGTCCTGCATGGCACAGCCTGGCGTGGTCCTGCGTAACAGGAGCGGGTGCAGCCGGCGCTGCCCGGTCCCGCGCGGCACAGCCGGGCATGGCCAGCACGGCCCCGTCCCGCTCCCGCACGGCACAACCGGGCACCGCCTGGCAGTGCCGGCCCTGGGCACCGGCTGCCAGGAGCAAGCATGGGGACAGGGGGGTCCCCCCGGGTGCCCAGACCACGTCATGCGGCTCCCCTGTCCCCCGTCCCCACCCCCCACTCATGCACTTTTCCAGCCCCACACGTGGGGGTCCTGGGGGAATGGGGGGACACCTGGGCAGAGGGCAAGCAGCACCTGCCACAATGTCCCCCCTGTCCCACGTGTCCCCCCAAGGCCGCTTGAACTGTGACGTGTTTTATACGAGTGAGAATAAAGGTTATTTTTTCAGAACTGCCGGTTTGTGCCGTCTGGAGAGGAACTGGGGTCCTGATACGGTCTCCATCCCTATCCCTGTCCCTGGCCAAGAAGCCCCAGTGGGGCCAGTGCCCGGACGCCTGGGCCCCCTGGCATCGCTGCCAGCCTCCGTTCCCCTTTGGGGCCCCTGCCTCTCCCTGCCAAGCCGGGGGCATGTGGCAGCGTCCCCGCTGTGTCCCTGCTGTGTCCCCGCACAAAGGCCCCTCTGTGCGCGGAGCGGCACCACGTGCGGCTCAGCCCCTGGCGGGTGGCAAATCCCGGCGGATTAGCGGGCAGGGGGATTAAGAGCCAGGGCCAGCGGGTATTAAAGTGGCAGGGCCGGGGGGGCGCGCGGGGACACGATGGCTGTGGCTCCCAAAACGGTGCTGATCACGGGCTGCTCCTCCGGCATCGGCCTCGCGCTGGCCGTGAAGCTGGCGCAGGACAAGAAGCAGCGCTTCAAGGGTGAGCGGGGCCGGGGCGAGGGGCGGCCTGGCACGGGCAGCCCGGCGCGGTGCAGCCTGGCACTGTGTTGTGCAGTGCAGCCTGGTGCAGTGCAGCCCGGCGCTGTGTTGTGCAGTGCAGCCTGGTGCAGTGCAGCCTGGCACGGTGCAGCCCTGCACTGTGTTGTGCAGGGCCAGAAGGCACGATGCTGCCCTGCAAGTTGCAACATGGGGCACTGCAGCCCACCACGGTGCAGCAGGGCATGATGTGGTGCAATGCAGCATGTTACAGTGCATGTTACATCGTGGTGTTGTGCAGTGCCGAGTGGTACAGTGCAGCAGAGCAAGGTACAGCAAGTCACGGTGCAGCCCGGCACAGTGCAGTGCAGTGCAGGGTGCAGTGCAGTCTGGTACAGCTGCAGCACAGTGCAGGGTGCAGCGCAGGGTGCAGTGCAGCCTGGCACAGCGCAGTGCAGGGTGCAGTGCAGCCCTGCACACTGTGGTGCACTGCCCGGTGCAGCGCAGGGCGCAGTGCCACGCTGTGCTGAGCCGCCTCTCGCCGCAGTCATCGCCACCATGCGGGACGTGGGCAAGCGCGGGGCGCTGGAGGCGGCGGCGGGGCCGGCGCTGGGCCGCACGCTGGACGTGAAGCAGCTGGACGTGGGCGACGAGCGCTCCATCCGCGCCTGCGTCGACAGCCTCCCCGGGCGCCGCGTGGACGTGCTGGGTGAGCGCCCCGCGTTGCCCCGCGCGGCCCCGGCGCCGCCCCCGCTGACCTCCCCGTGTCCCCGCTGCAGTGAGCAACGCCGGCGTGGGCATGATCGGCCCCCTCGAGTGCCAGAGCCTGCCCGACATGCAGCGCCTCATGGACACCAACTTCTTCGGCCTCGTGCGCCTCGTCAAGGAGGTGCTGCCCGACATGAAGCGGCGCCGCAGCGGCCACATCGTGGTCATCAGCAGCATCATGGGGCTGCAGGGTATGGGGGGTCCATCCCCCAGGGCTCGGGGTGCCCCCCGGGCACCGCTGACACCCCCTCCTACCCAGGCATCGTCTTCAACGACATCTACGCGGCCTCCAAGTTCGCGGTGGAGGGTTTCTGCGAGAGCCTCGTGGTGCAGACTCTGCACTTCAACATCGCGTGAGTCGGGGGTGCCGCGGGGCCGGGCGGCCCGGGTGCCGGTGCCACCGCGGCCGCCGTCCCTGCAGGATCAGCCTGGTGGAGCCGGGGCCGGTGACAACGGAGTTCGAGACCAAGGTGTACGAGGAGGCCGAGCGCGCCGACTACTCGCGCACGGACCCCGAGACGGCCGACATCTTCATGCGCCTCTATCTGCGCAACTCGCGCGACGTCTTCGCCAGCCTGGGCCAGAGCGCCGAGGACGTGGCCGAGGTGCTGGAGCCCCCCGGAGCTCCTGGGCTGGCGGGAAGGGCAGCAAATAGCACTAATGAGGAGCTGGGTGGGGTGAAGGGAGAGGGAAAGGAATGGGAATGGGAAAGGGATGGGCATGGAGAAGAGAAAGGATTGGGGATGGAGAAGGGAAAGGATTTGGGATGGGAATGGGATGGGAAAAGGATGAGGATGGGAAAAGGATGAGGATGGGAAAAGGATGAGGATGGGGATGGGAAAGGGATGGGGATGGGAAGGGGATGGGGATGTGAAAAGGATGGGGATGGGAAAGGGATGGAGTTGGGAAAGTGAAATGGAAAGGGATGGGATGGGGAAGGGAAAGGGATGGGGATGGGGAAGGGATGAAGCCGTGGTCGGGGATAGAGAAGGGGATGGGAATGAGGATGAGATCAGGGTTAGGGATAGAGATGGGGCCGGGGTGGGAAAGGGTTAGGGCTGGGAACGGGGACAGGGCTGGAGAAGGGGATGTCGGGATGGGAATAGGGATGGGATGGAGGCTGTGAGGGGCCCCGGGAGCGGCGCCGTGCCCGTGGCCACGGCAGTGACGGCGCCGCGCACAGCACACGCTGCGGGTGCTGGAGGCGCCCGAGCCGCCCTTCCGGCACCGCACGAACGCGGCGTGCGCGCCGCTGGCCGCGCTGCGGCACGCCGACCCCAGCGGCGCCCTGGCCACCGCTGCCCTGGCCGCGCTGCTCTTCCGGCGGCAGGGGCTGCTGCGGCTGGGCCTGCGCGCGCTGCGCCTGCTGCGCTGGAAGGCGCAGAAGCTGCGCCAGGGCGCCCGCCTGCTCGGCCTGCGCTAGCGCCCGCCGCAATACAGCCCTGCAACCGGCCCCCCGCCCGGCTTCGCGGGTGCCGCCCGGACGCCGGGGCCCCTCGTGCGCTCCGGGAGGCGGGCGCAGGATGCCGGGGCCCGGCAAGCGGGACGGGAGCCGCGCGGGGGGTTTCGCTTCCTGCTCCCGGCCCGAAATAGCGGCGGCCGCGGCCGTAGTAAAATCGGGCGGGTATTTTTAATTGGCGCCGGGCGCCAAAGCGGAGCCGCTTCCTCCGAGAGCGCAGCGGCCGTGACGGGGCTGGGAAGGGCTGGCAGGCACCGCCGAGCGAGTCCGTGGGGACGGCGGGTCCCTTGGGGGTCCCCACATGTTCCCACAGCCCCCCGCAGGCCCCCACGTCCCCCCTGCACGCCTGTCCTACTGCACTCGGAGCTGCAGGGTGGGTGCTGGTACAAGGAGCAGAGCCGGGTGCAGGGTGTCACTGGTGGGTGCAAAGGGGTGCAAGGGAGGGAGCAGGATGGGTGCAGGGTGCAAGATGCAGGTGATGGGTGCACGGATGCTTGCAGGGTGCAGGGATGCAGGCTGCAGAGATGGATGCAGGACACAGGGATGCTTGTAGGGTGCAAGAACGTGTGCAGGGTGCAGGGACGGGTTCAGTGCTGCGTGCAGGATGCAGGCATGCATGCAGGACGGGTGCAGGGACGCATGCACGACTGCAGGGTGCGGGATAGAGGGATGAGTGGAGGGATGAGTGCAGGATGCAGGGGGCTGCGCGGGAGCCAGGGAGCCCCAGGAGGGCCCCCCCCCCATGCAGGAGGTGCTGGTTTCAAACCCCCCCACGCCCACGAGCCGGTGACAAGGGGGGACGCGGCGCTGGTGGCGCTGGCGACGGGCGGCACCTGCGGCCGGGGGGGGGGTGACGCCCCCCGGCCCCCCCGCTGCGGTTTCTGCCGCTTCGAGCCACTTTCTCCGCCCGGGGCGCCGGGGGGCGGCGCGGGCCGGGCCGGGGAAGCGTCGCCCCCGCGGGCGGGAGGGGCCGCGGCCGCCGGGGGGGCCCCGGGAGCGGGGGCGGGTCTCGCCGCCCGGGCTGCCCCCGCGGGAGGGGGGCGCTCGGGCACCCCGAGGTGCTCGGAGAGCTGGGGGGCTCCGGGCTTCATTGGGGCCGCGCCGGGGGGGCAGAAGGGGGCCTCAAGGCCCAGGGCAGCGTCGCAGGGGCAGCGTCGTGCCCCGCGCGGGAGCAGCGCTGCAGCACTGGGGGCAGCGTCCCCGGGTACCCCTCACTGCAGGGTCCCCCTCACTGCAGTGTCCCCCTCACTGCAGGGTCCCCGGTGTCCCCCTCATTGCTGCATCCCTGGTGTCCCCCTCACTGCAGGGTCCCCCTCACTGCAGGGTCCCCAGTGTCCCCCTCACTGCAGGGTCCCCAGCACCGGGGGCAGCATCCCCAGTGTCCCCCTCACTGCAGGGTCCCCGGTGTCCCCCTCACTGCAGGGTCCCCCTCGTTGCAGCATCCCCAGCCCTGGGGGACAAGGTCCCACATGTCCCCCTCACTGTATGTCCCCAGCCCTAGGGCCGTGTCCCCAGCCCCGGGGGGCAGCTTCCCCAGTGTCCCCCTCACTGCAGGGTCCCCAGCCCCAGGGCCGCGTCCCCAGCGCGTCCCGGCCGCGGCGGTGGCTCCTAACGGGGACTTCTCGTCACCGCGGGGACTTCTCGCCACCCTGCGCCGGGCGCCCAGCTGCGCCGCTCGCCTCTATGCAAATAGGTGCCCGATATAACCGGCGGGGGGGCCCCGGCGCGCCGCGAACCCAGCACTGGACGTGGGATCACTGAACGATTCGCAGCCAACGGAGGGAGCTCCACGCGCTCCCAGCCCGGAGCGCTGCCCAAAGCAGCCCCCGGGGGACGGAGCAACTGCGGCCTCCCGAGTCACTCAGAAGGACTTCTGGGTCGTGTTGTGGCAATGGGTATTTATTAGGGACAAGAACAACCATCCATCCTGCCAGCACGAGCCTTAGCACGAGAAAACGGCCACTGGGAAAGCCCTTCCCACCGTGTCCCACGCGGCAGGAACAGCTTCGCAAAATGAGTTGTCCTTATTCGTCCCCCTCCCTGAGACAAGCAGAATTTGGCACTTCTATTGTACTTGAGATAGCAAAGCACTTTGGCAAACATATTTATCCTTCTTCAGACATATTCCCATCAAAAAAACCTGACTGCCGTTTCCCTTTTTTCTACCCTAAAAATGAGGGAGAGAAAGTGTCCGGCCCAGGGAGAAGGAGCGAGCCCCAAAGGCACCTCGATAGCGAACCACGCAGCGCACAGCAAGCCCACCAGGCTACATCCAGCGCTGCATTATTAAAAAACTTGCAAAGAACAAGCATCCACTCAGCAAAACAGTTATCAAATTCGTATCTTGGGCACGGTGACTAATAATACAGCTGCAGAACAATGATTAGAGCAAAAGAACTATTTTTAAAGCTGGCTTCAAAGTCACCGTCAATACTCATTTTGCAAAGCAGCACATCTCAGTGCGAGGGATATCCCCGTGTAAAACCAGAGCGAGCCGCGAGCTCCCACACATGCCGACGCGAAGCTTCTCACGGCGTCTCCCGCTCCGCGCGGAGCCTTCGGCTGCGCGGAGCCTCCTCCGGGACGGAGCTGGGGCTGGAGCAGGAGCGGACGCGCGGGGCAGCACAGCCCTGTTCCGTGGCTGAGCACCTGCTGGAAAGAGGCACTTCCCACCAAAAGCCAGGATATTCCCAGCACGACCTGCCAGCGCCCTGCGTATTCCGGGCTGTGTGCCATGTAAAAATCCCAGCCCCAAAATCAGCCGGATTTCTCATTTTGCTCTTCCTAAGGGGTATGAGCGGAGTGATTTTTAAGAAAGTGAACGGAGAGGTGAGAAAAAGGAAAGTGTGGTGGGACCACAGGCTCCTCAGGCTGAGGGGAAACCCACTAACAATGAATTAACGCTCCCGCCCCAAATACATGTTTTCTGTGTTTCACTAATTAGCCATTTTAAGCCCATAGGAATCGAAACAGCGAGAAAACACTCTCCTTATGCACTTGTGCCTCTGCATCTGCCCCACCACACTAAATGGCAGAAGGGAAGAAAACACTTCTGTGCTGAGTTATAGCAAACACTATAAAACAAAATACATGTTAAAAAGTTAAAAAAAAAACCCAAACTTTAAATTGTTATTAACTTTCACAAAAATAAAGTTCATAAAATCTCTCTCTGTCTCTCTCTACTTCTGCTATTGTTTTTTGCAGAACCGCTCAGCAGAGCAGCCAGGCAGGGATGCTACAGAACAAGGAACCGCTTGTGAGAAAAGACCAACACACAACCCAAAACGCAACAAAACTGTCCCTCTGACACTGCTCCTTATGAAACGGCATGGGAAAACACTCAAGAAAACTCTTTAGACTAAGTAAAAACAAACGAACAACCTTCCCCCTCCGCAAAACTCCCGTGGCGGACTGCGGCAATCCGAACGGCCGCTCCTATTTCAGCGGCAGCCGGTGCTCCCCTCGCGCTATGTGCGAGGAGAACTCGTAGCGGTCGTGGCTGCGGTAGCCGCACACGTTGCACTCGAAGGGGTCGCGGAAGCCGTGGCAGCCCATGTGGATGGTGAACATGACGTAGTCGAGGAAGAGCACGCGGCAGTGCTCGCAGCGGTAGGCGCCCACCGCCGCCCCGTCCCGGCCCAGCACCTGGAAGGCGTCGCGCGCGCCCGGCGGCTTGAGCGCCTCGCAGGGCCGCGGGAAATCCCTGGAGCAGGGCCCGCCGTTGCGGGCCGCCGCGGGGAAGGGCAGGCCCGGCCGCTCCTCGTGGTTGCTCTCGGTGTCCGTGGAGTCGTGGCCGCTGTTGTTGGGCGAGGGGCCCCGCTCCGCGGGCAGGCTCTTGTCTCGCGGGTGGCTCCTCTCGTCGTGCGAGGCGGCGCCGTTGGGCATCTCGGCGCGGGTCAGCGCCACGGGATAGAGGCTGCTGATGACGGGCACCATTTCGGAGGCGGGCGCCGGCGGCGTCTGCACGAGGGGGCGCAGGGCTTCGGCGCCCAGGTAGCTGATGGCGTTGTTTATGGCCTGGTCCATCATGCGCCCCTGCATGAGCTCGCTCTCCTTCTCGTAGAGGAAACCCGAGCTGTAGCCCACGTCGAAGCTGTGGCGCTTCTCGCCTGCAAGAGAGCAAAGGTCCAAAATCACCCGCGTGCTCCAGGAGGGATTTAACCTCCAGGCTGCTCTTCGAGGAGTCTCCCGGGCAGAAAGGTTCCCTGCGGAAAAGCCAACACTTACATAATACAAGTAACAATACAATACAACAACAATACAATAATAAAAAATAATACAAGTAAATTTTTTAAAGCCCAAGACCACCGGAAGCAAAACCCAAATAGATCAGGTTGTGACAAACTCATCAGCCAAGCCCCTGATTTTTTTTTTTTTTTTTTATTATTATTCTAGGATATAAGGGAGAGAACATCAAGAAAGACTTCCATAGATTAATTTCTCTCATCTTTTTTTTCTAGGAGATGAGCGGTAATTTGTGGAAAAAAACCCGTAAAAGAGCTAACCATTTACCAACCAAAGGCCCTTCTAGGGACCCAGACTGCAGCTTCCCCTTCTTGAACTGTCTCCTGCTTTGCGGAGCATTTTCCCCAGTGTGTTTCAACATTTTTTAAAGATATTTTGTTATTTTTAGGTAACAAAAACCGTGCAGATTCCCAGCCAGGCCATAATGTAGCTTCCTCGGCACTACAACTCCTTCGCATTATACATAGATTTTCAGATAACCAGACGCTGGCAGCCATGTGTGTATGTGCAGAACAGCAGAACAGACTAAGGGTAACTTCACAGGAGGCTAACAGCAGAGGAACAAGACATATTTCTCTGAATAATCTCACGAGGCAGAGCGGGAGGGGAGCTAAGAAACTGCACGCCTGGAATTCTGCTCCCGTCTCCTGGAGCAAGGGGCAGGGCCGGGCGGGCAGCGCCCTGCAACTCGTTTCCTCCACACTAGGTACGAGACAGAAAGAAAACTGCCCCCCGAAAGCAGCTAAAGGCACTTTATATATTTATCTATTTTTGCAAATGTCTAGAAATAAGTAACTGAATTCTGCGGTTACACCAAGCTTGAAATTGTTCACAGATTTAAAAAGGAAAAAAAATAAAAAGTGGATCAGATCAAGTGTTTCACGTGCAAGTGACTTGCACACATCAGATCCCCTAATCTTTTAGTTACGGTAATTTGAGTAGTGCAGATGTTTATCAGTCACCTGTCAACACCATGACTCAACGCACATGAAACTCATCAGGTTTCACTGCAAAGGCAGAAAAACCAGGAGCTCACGTTTCTTTTAGAAAATACTCAAAAAGGTCCGTGAACCACAAGAGCGTAACTGCTTCCAGCCCTCGACACGACGTGTGATCCAACGGTGCGCGGAGGGAACCACCGCGGCCAGCACCGCCGGTGACTCACAACCCCAGCTCCAGGCACGGGAAGGCTGTAACCAAATCTGAAATTTTAAACAACAAAACAACAGCAAAAATCTACCGGGAGAGTCTACAGAGCCCTAGCACAGGCTGTGCAGGGAGGCTGTGGAGGCTCCTTCTCCGGAGGTCTCCAAACCCACCTGGGTGCCCCCTGTGCTCCGTGCTCTGGGTGTCCCTGCTGGAGCAGGGGGTTGGACTGGATGGTCTCTAGAGGTTCCTTCCAACCCCAACCACTCTGTGATTCGGTGAAGTCTGGGGCAACGCTCTGCTCGGGAGGCACTAGGACACAGCGCGCAATCCGGGATGGCTGAGGCTCTCGCGCTGTTTTCCTGCTGTCTTTGTGGCTTTTTAAAATCTCCACTAAAACTTATTCTGCCTCTCCTACATTAGCAGCGATATTGAATTAAATGCAAACATGTTTGCTCTCCTGACATGCATTAAGATGCCACGTGGCTGCAATGCTCCCCAGGAGTGGGCTCAGCTTAGGAGAGGACAAGCGACCGCCTCGTGAGGCAGCCTGGGAGCAAACGGGAGCATTGCACGAAGAGGAGCATCCCTCTCTGCACCGAGCCCAGGGAAAACACGATTCCAAGCCTGCCTAACCCAGTGTGAGGCCCTTGCTTAGCCAAAACGCCCTTTTTTCGGCCCGCTCCCTGTTTTCCTGCTCCGGGTGCGGTGCAGAAGCTCTCCCGCGGCCGCACCGCGCTGCTCCCCACGGCGTGGTGCCCTGGGAAGCGGGCAGGGTCCTGCCAGGCCAGGCGGGTGGCCGTGAGGGAGGTGCCTCCTGGCGCCACGAGCGCTGCCCTTGCACTGCTCCCAGGGAGGATTTCCAAGGCTGCCCTCGGGGGAACCTTAAGGAAACATCATGTGAGAAAAGAGCACCTGCACAAGGTGGCTACCAGAGACTCCTTAAGGTTGGGAGGGACCTTCAGGGATCATCTAGGACAACCCCTGCACACGCAGGGCACCTAGAGCACGTGGCACAGGCTGCATCCAAGCAGGTTTGGAAGATCTCCAGAGAAGGAGACTCCACAGCCTCTCTGGGCAGCCTGTGCCAGGGCTCTGGCACCCTCACTGCCAAGAAATTTCTCCTTAAGTCCCTGCAGATTTTTCCTTAAGTTCCTGCAGAACTTTCGGTGTTTAGTTTGTGGCCGTTATTCCTACCGATGACGAGTACAGGGGAAATGGAGGGTGAGAGTGCTCACACACGCAGAAATCTCCGTAGGGCCATGAAAGAAAGTTATTTCTGACCAACGGACTGCCAGCACGATGCGCCCAGCCTGGCACACGTACTTCTCCATCCCTTCTTCCTGCCGTCCTCCCAAGGGCAGCGCCCCTCGCGGAAAGCCCGTTCCCCAAGGCAGCACCAAGCTCTCCTGGCAGACTCGCACTCCCACGCACGCAGTTCAGAGAGTCACAAGAGTCAAACCCAGGTCGGACCTCGGGCTGCCGCTTCCCAAGGATAAAAGGGAACGAGTGAGTCACTTTTTCACACGTTACCCAACACGAACGCGCCAATAACATGGGCTTTACAAAAACACCAAGTTTCAGAAATCGGTTAGTTTATGCCCTTAAGTAAATGGCCGCAGTTCCTCTGACTTTTCCCCCTAAACTTTTGCATGACGGTTTCAGTTTGCGCTATCCGCAGACACTGTTACTGAGCCTTACCAGAGGGCTAAAAATGGATTTATCCTGCCCAGAAAGGAGCACGCGGGTACAACAGCGAGCAACACACCAGTGCTCATGCATCATTGCATGCACGTGCTAAGTAGTTTTGCCCTGCAGAAGTGTTGAAGCAGGATGGACTGGGGAGTCACTCCAAAACAAGACGTACGAAGCTGCTCCGGGCGCTAAAAGGAAGCTCAAGATTTTGAAAAACACTTGCATTAGTCTTACATTTTGAATCACGGCATGACATGCACGGCCCAAGCCACCCAGTCAACAGTTTCAATATTAGGTACCCCATGGCGCTAGCGCGGAGCAGCCTGGTGTCATGGCATTCCTGCACAGAAGGGTGACATTTTAAAGTCTATACTACAACATCTGAATAAAAATGATCGATTTTCACAGATTATGAAAGTCCACCACTGCCCAAAGCCCCCCAAATCTACATTACCTTTAAAAAAGTCAAAATGTCAGTGTTTCTTATGAATTTACGGACAAAGCAGCATACCCCGGCTTTGAGCCTTGGCCCCAGAAGTTCAAGAAGCTGCCGGGAACCTGCCTGTCCCCACACGTCCCCTCCCCGCGTCCCCGCGCGTGGGAGCGCAGCAACCGCAGAGGCTGCCGTGCTGAACGCAGGGTTTATAGTCAGTGTCCAGCACCACGCAGATCCACCCAGAATATTGCAAGACATTCTCAGGGCTGATATTATAGAGCTGCTCGGCAAAGTCCAAAATTTCAGTTGCGTTTTCTTTTTATACAGAGCAAGATAATGAAACACAACTCGCCAACAGGATTAGGCATCCACTGAAACATAGAAGCTGCCAATAAGCTTATGATTATGTAAAAATTAAACTGATGAGCTATTTTAATTAAAAGAAAGCCCCTTTATTTTCCTATTATGACACACAGCAGATCTAGTTACATAAAACGATGGATTAGTGCACCTATTTCAAATAGCTTCTTGGCAAAAATAAGTTCCAAACTTCCTAGTTTTTATAGGAATATTGGTGGTCCTTTTTTTTTTTTTCTGGTAAAAAACCTTGAGACGGAAGTGAAATAAAAAGAACACACAAGTGAGCTACAGAAAGCAGTAAGTTTGCTAAACGAATAGGCGAGATCCCCAACGTGCAGCACTGAGGGCAGGGGACTCAAGGGGCTCCCAAACTGTCCCAGGCCTCATTCTGCACATGTCCTACAGGAAGGCTGCACTAGGAAGGGTGGTGAGAGCAGGCAGCAGCTCAAAGCCTTTCTGCTCTTTTCCTGCTTAGACCCTCCTGGAGAATAATTCAAACATATAGCTGCAGAGAGCAATTGCACAACATATCTATATGCTGTCTGTAAAGACAATTAGGAGCGTATTTCCAGCTTACCCGCAACAAAGCAGCAAAAGCATCCCAAAATTAAAGTTAACATTACTTACGTTCTCTTGTGCTAGACGGGATTATCAACTGGAAAAGGATATTCAAAAGAAGCAGGGGCATTGTCCTGTAGGTTAGCAGCACTGACATATTTAACTGTTGCACAAGAAAAGGCTTTTTGTTCTTACCAATAAATTTCTGGGGCATTGAGCTTTTTCGCTTTGCCACGTTGCTCGCTAGCCTGTCCAGCACAAGGGCTCTTTCACTCCCCATCTCTGCCTTCATGTGCCTTGCCTCCACGCTCGCTAGTTTGGAAAATGTGAAAAGAGAAAAAGAATTAAAAAAACACGTAGGTGAAAAGGGAAAACACATATATATCAAAAAAGAACGAAACGAGTGGTTTAATCTCCGGAGTTGGCCACACTAACTGGGAGGAAACAGTCTGGAGAGCTGCTGTGAACTTGTTTTGTTGCTGTTTCTGGTGTTCTTGCTTTCCGCGTCTCGGGCACTAGTTGCGGTCAGTGGAAGCCAGCACAGAAGCTCGCCCTGATCTTGCAGTCCTGAGCTCATGCAGGGAGAGCACAAACCATACAAACCCAACACCTTCATTAGCAAGGGGAAGTGCAAAACGAAGAGGCTGGCCGGGTTGCTTGCAAAGCGTGGAGGGAGATGCAAGCTCTGTTAGCCTTTCTTTTTGATTCTGAGTAACCCTGCGTGACACCTGCAGGCTGACACAGTTCTCCAAAGCTTCAATATGAGACATTCGCTCCCTTTGTTGCGCTTCACATCAGTCATACATGGATGCCTTAACTGAGTACTAAGAAACGCACACCAAAATACATCAATATTGCACTAAAGTCACAACCTTTCAGGATTCACTAATTTTTTTTAAGTTGCATTATCACTTCTTCAGTCCTTTTGTAGTTGCTACAGCTGAAGCCAATTGCAGCTCTTTTCCTTGGTGCTTTAGGTGCGGGAGGTGCCTCAAAGCTCCTTAGGAGACCTGGAATTTCTCCCTTGGGAAGGGCTCCGGGCTGCACGGGGGCCCCACGGCCGGTCCCGCGCGGGGAGGCCCTGGGGCTGCTCGCGGGCTCGGCAGGGGCTGCCACCTCATCTCGCAACCGCGGGCGAGCGCAGCCGCCGCCGCCCGCAGCGCCGCTGCCCGCAGGGGCGGCCGCCCTCACTGACGGGCAGCGCCAAGGGCTCGGGATTAGGGACCTCGGCACGAAAACGGTGGCAAAAGAGCAGGCGGCCGCCCGGATCCTTAAGCTTCGTGCTTGCCAGCCAACAAACACGGAGGTATACGAGGATGAGCGAGGGGAGCTGCCTTCCCAGCAGGGCACAGAAAAGGGTGCATTTCATGGGAAGGGAATCCTGGCTGCTAGGCTGAAGTGTCCGTGTGCAATAGTGCAAAAACTACACAACACCTAACAGAGCAGTAACACGTAGCAGAGGAGCAGAGGAAAGCGTTCCAAGCGTGGGCATCGCTGTAGACCTGCTAAGCTCACCTTTGTGAAGCATCAGGCTTAAATTTAGGCTTGCTGAGCACAGCCCGTGGTAAAAATGCACTATCATCCTTCCATAGCTTACGGTGCAGCATTTCCCTGCTATTTCTAAGTAAATTACTCCTTCCTGGCTTATTGTTACTGTTATTGCTAGGAGTTTCAGTCGGTGCAAACCATGACTCACCAAACCTCAGCCATAACCATTGGCTAATGTTTGTACGGTATTTTGAGAACGTGAGGTGCTTCATAAGAGCTCAACGCCACAAAAATCAGCTCTGAATATGACTCAAGATGGATGGGATAACAGGGCTCGCTTCGGCACTGTGTTAATCTGGTTTCGTGCGGCTGCAAGCCCAGCACATACATAACAACCAGGCAAGGAGAAAGCACGAACACTCAGGGCTTTAGAAACACCAATATCTTCCTTTTCTCCTATAGCTGCGATTCCAATTTACTCTGGTACCTTTAAGAAATGTGCATATTAATACAGAGACAATTTCACCAACTGCTTCCAGCCAGAAACAGCACCAAGAGGCTACCTAGTAGTTTCCATAAAGTGAGGCCAAATAGCCCATTCCGTTGAAACTATATGGGCAAGTTAGGCAGGTAAAACACTGGATTTTGTCCAGAAACTCTTGTGAATAACTTTCTGAATTTTTTAACTGCAAATTTTTAACCTATTTTAATAATTTCATATCCCATACATCCTTGTGGAAACAAATACCCTGATCCCTGCCATTTCTTTCCTTTTCTTCTTTTTTTTTTTTTTTTTCCCCTAGTTCCTTTTCCCCCCTTCATCCTTCAGCTTCAAGAGCTGCTGTGCTCTTAACGCTTTGTTTTCCCTTCCCATGCTCAGATTTTCCCCCCTTTATCTCCTGCCCACACTCCAAGAGCGGAGCTGCTGTAAGGCGGCCTCAGACTCAGCCTGGAAGCCACACGCAGCAGCTCAGTGTCCTACTTGTCTCCTCAATGTTATTTATGTGCCACCAAGGGGACTTTATTACATTAGTGTCAAAAGGGCAGACAAGTGGCTTCCTGCAGAGGTAACAATAGTTACTGTCTCCTCAGCAATCTCTTCTGAGTAATGATTATTGACCTACATAGTATCTTCTGGGACAGCTGTAAATATCAATCTCCCAGCTGCATGTCTGCCTGCTATTTTATTTTTAAAGCTAAAGGTCTTTTCTTGAACATTAAGAGTTTCTACTGCTTGTCAACGACTGTATTTTTCCTAAAGAAATAAATCAAAATCATCTCTATTAATAGATCACAAAGGATCTTTGACGGTGTCTTCTAATAGCTTTAGGAAAACATAATTTGCTTCCCTTGAGACAGAGCCAGCTGAAAGGAAGCTAAGTTTAAAGGATCTGCTCCACCTTTTAATTCTGGATCATTTATTAAACAATCTAAGGATAATGTTTAGTAAATTAGAAACACTTTTTATTGCTCAAAATCCACTAAAGACATCTTGAAGCAAGACTTAGGACTATCTCCTTCTTCAATTACTTTTACCTGCTAGGAGATTTCACTGCACATCATGCCATTTTAGCTAAGGAACTACCTACCTATATATATATATCATGCATGGACCGTACAACACCTCAGAAATATCTTCTGTGGATCAAACATTTTCAGAAGCAAACTTGTGCACGTGGTTTATCCGTTAAGAATGACTACGTGTGTGTTGTCCTAATCACTAGATGACAAATCAGCTCTTTATAAAACTATGCTGTCAACTAGCCCTAATGTCATGCTGCAAGAAATACAGGCAGCGGGTACTTTTCTCCCAGCCTGAATGTGAGGAGACCATCGTTCAGCCCATGCTAAGTTGTTTCCACAGTGTGGTTTCTGTCACACCATAACCGTGAGTCTAGTTTTTAGTGCGGGCATCATCAACAAAACCCTCAAGCACAAAGCGGAGCTCAAATTAGAGGCATTGCTTCCTGTAGCATCTCTGTGTGGTCATTAAATAATGGAGAGTGGAACACAGAGGTGGGTTATTGTGCAACAAGAACAATGTGACCAGAGATGGTTATCGGCGAGGCAGCAACGTCCTAGCAATACTGTCAGAGAGGAACATATGTATTCTTATTTTTTCAGAGGTCTTTCCGTCCTGCTCTGTTTGGCACATGCAGCCTTCATGCTGCACAACTGGCACAGCGGGAGCTGTGCTCCCAATGCTGTAATTAACAACTGGATGGGAGGGAGAGCGGGCATGTCAAGATGACGCCGAATGGGAAGGTTGCAAGCGCTTCAGAAAAGAGGACTACAGCCCCAAGTGATGTAGGTAAGTAGGAGAGAGGTCAAAAATCAAAAACCAGTATTCACTGAAGAGCAAAGGGCTACACTCTGAAGAAAAAAGCCAAAGCGAGCGCACAGAACAAGCTCTTCAGGTCCTTCCCAGCCCCACTTTCCTACGACTCTGTGATGTGCTACAGAGCTGATACCGGCAAAGTGAGGCCTCAGCAAGACGAGAGTTCCTGTTTTTAATAAAACTTACGACTCCACTAACAACATTGCAATATTTTTCAAGTCTGAAGGTCTTAAAGGCATAGGGAACAACCACGTTGTGCTGAACTGGAGCTTTACATTTCCTTTGTGACCAAGTCATATGGTGCTACTATAGTAAGTACATTGCAGATTCCGGATAAATGACATGTTGCTATTCTGAAATGAATATAAACTATGGGAATCATTTCAAGCAGAAATCTCTATTAGGTATCATGTTTTCCATTTTCCTGTGGTGGGCATCTCAACATGATTGCCATCATGGGAGCCTGTCCTGTAACATAATCTACAGTTACAGCATGTACGGGTTCTCATGAAAATCAAAACTTGCTGATGCTCAGATAACCACTGACTTTTACTAATGCTCTATAAAACCACGACTTGTTGAGAAGATGACACTCCATGAAAAAGTAAAAGACTAATTTAATTAAATCGTTGTTTCTTTCTGGCATGAACATGTGTCTGAACCTCAACCTGCTTCGCATGGGGTTAACAGCTCTTGCATGCACACAGTTACCCTGTGCACACGGATCTTCCCACTAGTTGGGGGCCCTGTTTTGGGATGATGCTGGAGATTTTTTGCTTGACCATCAGATCACTCAAAGCAATTTTGTCATTATTCAAGGGCCGTACACTGTCGGCTTTCTAAAATTGTACAAAATTTCAGTCTTTTCCTTGCAAAGAGATGCTATTTAAAATCCACCATCAGAAGTAGGGAGCTTGGCACTTGACAGGTTTTTAAGGCTATGCAGCAGAATAGGAACCTGCCTTGTGAAGTTGTCATCTCGGCTCCGTTATGGATCAGTTCCATAAGCACTGGGCTAGTCACACCTTTCCATGGCTCCCTGAGCGGGAAGAGTTATTCCTTCCTGACTCACTGGCATAATGTGGGACCTCAGTTCAATCCGGGATTTGAAGTGCTCCCATTAAGAAGGCTCAAAGAAGAAAGCGGTTATTTTTTCATTGGAATGTTTTCAGAAATCCAGCATTGAGACTGTGCAATGGAAAATACAGCATAAAGACGGTGTGTTTTGATCCATTTTACCTTCATCCTTTGCAAAAAGCAGCCCTACACCGAGCAGCCCTTTCCCTATGATCTTCAGAGTAATATTCCATTCCAATATTGCTAAAACTTTGGCAAATTCTAACTGATTCTGACCGACAGCTCTTACTCTAAAGAAAAGGAAGCACCAAGTAGACTGACACATGTGGACAACTGCTGATAACAACTATGCACATCAACTCATCTAATAAAAAAACACCCCATAATAGCATTAATATAGGAATAATTTAACCTATGGTGAGTGTCACCTACAGAAATGCTGCAGAGAAGGTAATTCAGATGTTTTATTCAAAGTAACTGTGAAATAAAAAAGTGATTAAAATAAAAGTATTTTTTAGCTAGCTGCCTGAGGGATACGTTAAACCTGACCGCTTTACAAGACATTGAAGCCCCTTAGGTTGCTGAAAATTAGTGTAATAAAAACTGTTCTCAAGCTATAAATCAACAGCTTGCCAAATGCTCTTTTTAAGCATTGTAATGTACAAAAAAACCTCACTGTAATGTGATAAACTCACCAGTCTCACACATGCCAGCGTTCTGCAAGTAAGAACGGCACCGCTCCTTGTGCTCCTCTAATGAGCTTCTCTGTTTGTAGCTCCTTCCACAGAACTCACATTTGTACGGCTTCTCCACTGGAAATAAAACAAGAGAGAAGAATAAATAACCCCAAGAGGCGAATAAAACGGTGCCTTGCTGACATTCGAGTGCAGAGTTACTGATAACACAACACTTGGCAAATGCTTTTCATTTCTATCAACTTTATGGGCACTGGAATTATCACAAAGTTAGATGGCACAAGGGTGATACCTGCCAGACACGGCGGGTTCCTGCAAGGCTCCCTCATTCCCTAAGCTCAGCACCACAGAAGAGGACTTGGAATCAGCCGCTGTTCCCAGGAGCTCGGGTTCCTGGGGCCCTACTCCAGCTGCCTGCTTTTCCCGGCATAATTCCCGTGGGAAGTCTAACTGTGGCACTGCCAGAGGTGGCAGCTCTGCTAACTGCCCAACCAAGGGCTCCACACAGAACTTCAAGGATTCCACAAAACTGAACAAGTTAACCCAACCCCAGGCCTGTTCTCATTTCATTTCCAAAGCCATTTACTGTAGCACAAACACATTCCTAATTACTTTAAGCTAAAACAAATCAGTTTGAAACTAAAGACATCAACACAGCCTTACATAAAAAGACCTAAATGCTCCCTGAATTATCTCATTTCTCTCCTGGGCACAGATATTCCCTAACACATACGGGCACATCATCATTCCCAAGAGGGTACGGGGCTAACAGGGCTCTCCTCACGTCGTACGCTGTGCAAAAGCCCATGCTCCCTACTGCTAATGCAAGTGTCTGTTTATGATACATTTAAGGGGATTTTCTTTAAAGCTTTTAATAAACCGGCTCCTAAAAGCCTCAGTCCCAGTAACCACCTGATGTGTTCGAAGATGTTTTTATCTCAGTACTGATGGGGGACAGTTGCCACTGCTGTGTTGGGGCTTGGTCAAATAAGAATCTCATTTATCCGTGTCAGATAATCTCCCTTTTAACTTTGATTCTTTGTGAGGTTAAACATTTTTCCTGTGAAGTGCAGTGCAGAGATAATATCTGTAATTTAGAATTAATGCTTTCTTTCTAAGCCTGCGTATAAAACAGGACATACACAAACCAAAGAGCAAGCACGATCTGGCTGTTAAAGAGCAGGATTAACCGTGATGAGCCGAGTTACACCGGGCTTGTTATTCAAGTCACCTCAGCCCCAAGCCTCCTTTTCTTCCATGCGTAAAACGGATATGATGCCCTAGCAGTCTTGGAAAAGCGGCATTTGTTAAACACCTTAAGATATTCAGATGAAAGGCACTACCCAGCAGTGAGGTATGAACAGGCAATAGAGCAAATCAGTCCTCGATTGCGTTCCCAGAGCCATCCTAAGGTCATCAGTCCTTGACTGCGTTCCCAGAGCTATGCTAAGGTTCAGGTGCGGGAGGGAAGAGGCCCCGGCAAAGTGAGTCCTGGTGCTGCAGAGGCTGCGAGCTCCGTTGTCAGACTCATCTGCAAAGCCCAAAGAGCTGCACGAGGCCCCTTCTCCCAGCACCATTCCCTGCGCCCTCCATCCTTGCCAAGGCCAAAGAGCAGAGCCGGGCCCAGGACAGCTCCGTTAACCCCACGGGAAGCACGAGGGATCGTCCACGCTTGTGAGCTCTTCAGGACTGGGCTGGCTCAGCCGGCGCCGAGTGGTCTTTCATTCGCCGCAACGAGTGTCCTAGTGACACAGATTTAAAACACGTGAAGTGTCTTTGAAGTCACTTACCAGAATGTGTCCTTAAGTGACCCGTTAGCGCATCCCTCCTTTGGCAGGCATAACTGCAAAGATGACATTTAAAAGGTTTTTCCCCTGTATGTAGTTTAATGTGGCGGAGGAGGTTACCCTTCTGAGTAAAGGAAGCTCCGCACTGATTACACTGGAATGGCCGTTCACCTTAAAATGACATACAAAAAAGGACATTTAATGGTTATGTGGGCATCACGCTATCCTCATACCCTTTTCTTTTTGGGAGAGGAAAGAATGAGATACTGGATCTATTTCTTTCTCTAGAAATATACACTGCCCTTCCGCTGACTTCAGTGGGAGTCGCATGCAGCTCTGCCGTCACAGCATTTCATAATATAGGTTCAACTATGGTAAACACCAGACAGATTTTCCATGGAAATAGTGCTCTGCAGGAGGCTGTTTCAAACACGCGAGCAATTAAAAAAAATAAGTCTCACCTTACTGAGTGTCTAAACCTGAGACGCTCATGCATTTGTTGCCAAATTATAGCACAAAGAAATACAATGCACAGACTGGAAAGGGCAGCACAAAAAAACAACCTAAGTTTTGGTTTTGACTGAAATATTACAGCGACATAGTGCCTTTCATCCAAAACTCTTAAAATGCCTCACAAACATGCTTTTACTTACATTCAGCCTTGGCGAAAGAAAAGGTGAGGGAAGCGAGGCACAGAAAAATTAGTAACTTGCTTAAAGATCACAGGTGGAGTCAGGGAGAGAATGAAGAAATCTCGAGTTTGGTATCCTCCTTTTAAACAAACAGGCCATATTAAAAACCACCCTTTCAGTATTTAGTTTTGCAAGAATAACAGAGGGATATTTACCAGTGTGGCTACGCTTATGAACCATCAAGACATTGAGGCTAATGCAGGCTAATCCACAGATATCGCAATTCATTTTTCCACTAGCTGGCCTGATGTTGTCATATGAACCCGAATGTCTCTCCAGTTTAATGCTTTCATATTCATTATATTCTCTGGGATAGGTGTAAGGGATTTCAGATTCTTCTGTATTTTCCATAGGCTCTGAATTTAAAGCACTCTCCTCTCTTTCACCGTATTCACCTTTCACTTTAACCACTTCATCTGCAGGTAAAACACAAAGCACAAAAGTGAAAAAGCTAATCTTAGGCACCATGGACTACCTGAGAAACAAATCATAGCAAATTATACAATATTACACTAGAAAAAAAACATTCTACAAGTTTTACTTAAGCTCACAGAGATAAAGAAACAGAGCTGAGAGATGAATCTGTATAGGTCATGTCTGTTTGATAACAGTCATAGTGCATTAACCTTTAAAAACACTGACCTGCCTGTTGATTAGAAGGAAATTAGCCATCAAAATTACATATTCTAAAAATATAACAGCATATAATTCTACGATTGCAATTGCAGGGCCCTGCCCCGCACACAAAAGAAAACCCTTACTCTCACAATTCCCACTTAGCCCATGCAAGTGGGTACCATGAGTTCCGGCTGGGAATTCAAAACGTGGAAGGAAATGCAAATTTAAAGCAAATTTAAAGGATTCTTATCTGTTTGTGTGGAACCTGTGGTGCCTGCACACTGGATATAAAGATTTCTAATCCAATTTAGGACTTCCAGTGATTCCACAGTACTGTGTAGCAAAGAGCCCCTTTCACCTTGATTGTCATCAGCAATCCTATCAATCCCCTTGCTTTCAATGGGAACTTTTATTTAAAGACCTTAAATGTCTGAGGAGCATCCCATAATACCCATACCCCTATTGTAAGATTGCTATTTCCATGGCTTAATTTACTTTCCACTATTAACCCTACCATTACTAGCACTTGTATTAAAACCTTACCAAGTGTGAGGACGGGTATTTTCAGATTAACGATGATTTTCTATGTAGACGGGAGCTGGGTTATGCCTGAAACTTGAGTTGTGCCTCAAGCTACCAAGTGAAGAAAAGTCCTAAGAGATGAAATATATAATTTCCTGTTTGAAAGTACTGTTCTCGTGGCCACCTGCTCTTCTCAAACTGAGGGTTAGACAGTTAAATATGGCATTTAATCACTTGTCCTTTCTCCAAAGTACAGAACCTGGACTACTGAATATGTATTAGCTCCAGTTCTGAGTAATAAACCACATCAAGTGCAGAGAACAAACATTGGGTGATAGTGAAAATAAGGTGGCAACATAAAAGCAGCACTGAAAAATAAAAATCTGGCAACCAGCACGGTCACGAAATCCAGATTTTTCAGCTGCCGTTTGGGGATCAAATGACTCCTTTTCCTCAGGGTTTGTACCACGTCCAGCCAATCTAGCTCACTTTGGGCTAAACTGGGGTGGAAGAAGCAACTGGCTGCTAATTATTGCATCCTGTGGAAGAATCCATGGGAGTGTGGAAATCTCCAAGAGGCTCCTCTTAGTGATGACACTAGATGTTGTTCAGAGAATTTTTCGCCGTATTGTGTTTTTCCCCTCCATATTCTGTGATTTTTATCCCCTCTCGTAGGCACTTTTTAGAGTCAACGTTAGAGCTGGCTGCTCAGATGCCAGGAGGACTTGCCCAGGCTTTGATGCTTGCTCGGAGAATCACATGGACATCTGGATTCACCTATAAATGTGCGATTTTCCTCTGCATCCGCTTCAGGACCAGCCTCGCTTCACATCCTGGCTCCCACTCCCACCGAAACGGTCTCCTCAGCTCCAGGTCTCAGGGCGTTAGGGTGATCCTGTTCTTAAAACTCTTTCTCAAGTTATTTTAAGCATCCATTTTCAGCATTTTAAGGATTTTTTTGCCAGTTACTGAAAGACAATGTCAGCAGAACCTCTTTTCCAAAATATTTTGGAACAGCCTCCTTTTTAGAAAACAAAAAAGCAAAATTTGTCACGTCCTGTGCAGAAAGGCAGAAGGAAACACACGCTGCAGCTGCACCTTGTTGCTACTTTCAGAAACGATTTCAATTCCCACTTTCTATTTAACGTCTCACCTTCATCCGTGCATCACAAGCCCAATAGCTGAACAGCGAGGGACTGGCTGTAGCCTCCAATCGAGAGGATTTCTGTCCCCTTTTCTACAGTTTCTCACCGCAAGCTCATGGTTCACAGCTTTTCACTCCATCACAGAGCTAGGGCAGCGCTCGCTGTGACCATCGCCTTGATTTCCACCTGGCAAGCACTTGGCAAAGGCATCCTACAGTTCCGCGGTGGAAAATAACCACCTTTGCATTTTCCATGTTGCATTCAGACCGCTGGCAATGGGTTTTTTGGGGTTTCTTACAGCAAAAGAGAAGGATGCACCTGAGCTCTGATCAAGGCTTTCCCCGGCTGCCGCCCCCCCAGCCGTCACCGCCGCTCCTATCCCACCAGAGCGCCGGGCGCTTTGCAGGTTGCACGTGGGCGTTGCAAGAACCTCAACGGAAAAACTCAGCTGCTCAGCACTGAAAACAACAGACTGCAGAAGCCATTAAGGAAGAGACTTCTTCATTGAGCGGGCAGGAGAGAAGTGCTGGAATTCCTCTAACCCAAGGCATTATAGTCCCGAGCCTGGGGATCCTACCAGGCCTTTCTGGCCTGTTGAGAGGGTGACACAGCAGCAAGTTCTGGTGCAAAGGAGTCCAAGGCAAGGAGGGTTCAGTGCCCTCAGCCTATAAATAAACAAATGCAAAGGTCTCAAGCAGCCTGATTCCATTTTCAGCCCCGGACTTCTGCTTTGTATCCTGGCACTCCTTGTATCTATCGCTTAAAAAGCACATTAATATATTTGGGTGAGATCAGCGAGTGTCCAGGCTTAACCAACGGGAAGGGGGTTGTCACATCAGCTTGGAAAGGGACATTTAAGTGCACCACTATCCCGAGTGACACTAGCAAGGCGCTCTGGGTTGCAAAGAGAAGCGTTATCGTCTCCCCTGTGCTTAGAAAAGCAAAGTTAAAAGGGGAAAAATCCTTCACGTGTCACCTTCAACACAGGTAACTGTTTTGCTCGGAGCAGTTAGTGAAGGTAATTCACACTGCAGGAAAAGGTAGATTTTACACAACAAAGCACGAGCTTGCTGCATGAAGGCTGATGCACCAGGTTTCATTTCCTGGGGAGATGATGGCAAGATGAAAGGCATGCTCCAGAGTAATATTTTTGTTTCACCTGAAACACTGTAAAAACAACGAGCTCTGGAAAAGCTCCAAAAATAAAGCTGTGGTGGCAACTTCAGACTGAGTCACCACACCAACAGGGCATGTCTATGTTCTATAAAACGTAGGAATAAAGGCTCAATAACAGCAAATAATTAAGAGAAGCTGAGTGATAACTTAGCAATTCTTTAAGAGGAAATCTCAGGATAGCCCCTCCCCAGTTACTATAATTAATCCAAGCCCTTGACATCAAATATAAAGAAAAGAGTGCTACTTTTGTGCTGCTGTTAAGCCAAGGTTGGTGGAAGCCTTATGAAAAGCACAAAGAATAAACCCCAGAAGCCATTAAAGACAACAGCACAAAAGGGGGATGTGTTTTACAAGGAGGGGGGGCAGAATCGTGAGATCCTTTTGCACGTGCAAAAAGTCAACTGGGGAACAAAGAAACTTAATCATCTTGCTGGGGCATTTTAATGATGCTGCTGATTTGCTATGCCAGTTCAGAGATAATGAGCCCCGAATGCTGCAGATGTTCAACCAGACTAAAGGGAAAAATAAAGGAAAAAAGAAGAGCTTTCCTTGTATGCCACTTGCTAAGCATCCAATTGAACAAATTGTGAGAGCAGATAAATGGTTTACCAGGTTTTGACAGCTGTTAATAGGATTCAGATGCTCAGACTATGGAAGAAGGAGAAGGGAGGCTCCTGTTTGTGGGTGCTGAAGAATTTGTGCGACTACCTGTGCTTGGCAGGTATTAATGGATGAATCATCACAGATTATCGCCACAAACCATCCCCAGAAATAGCAACACAAGGGAGAAAGGCGGGAACGTAGACTGCTAGCTGTGGCCCTCACAGAACGTGCAATTCCTTCACCAAAGTCAGCTTAAAAAAGGCTTTTTGGAAAAAAAAAAGTGCTTTTTTTTTTTTTTTTTTTTAAATGCAGCCATAAACTGCAAAAGTTAAAAAAAAAAGGTCACCTTTTTTTTCCCAAAAGCAACACAGTAACAGGCAGAGCAACTTTTCTCTTTACCATTCTAACATCACTGCACATATCAAAAGAAAAGAAAAAGAAAAAAGGGATTCAGGACTTCTCAGCCTATCAAGTCTTGTTTTTTTTTTTTTTTTTTTTTTTACCACTGGTTCCAGTGACAAGATCAGTTTGTGACAATGGCAGAGATGTTATGAGCTCATGATTGCTAAGGAAGGAAGAAGCAGCCTCCAAATATCAGCTCTAACTTCTATTTTATTCTTATCTCTGTCCCTTTCAGTATTTTCAGCCTCTCAGGACTCTTGGTGCGTATCCATGTTCTACAGAACCAAATATCTATTTTGTTTAGGCCCTGCCTAACACGTAGTTGAAGGGTAATTCCTGCCTGAGCCAGGGCACTGTGCACCTGGGGAAGATTTCACTTCTAAAAATAGGAGAGAAACTCATAATTCCCCTTTGTGGGATGCACGCACTACGATAATTAGTCCCCTTGTTTTTATTGTTACTTGAAAACAAAAATAGAGACGAACCACATTGAAATGCCACTGAGAACAGCAAAAAAGGCAGGCGCTGGGTCCTGAGCATTTGGATACGCATCTTCTATCTCATGAAGACCTCTGTCTTTCTGTCATCGAAAGGGAATATAATTTATGTTGCTATAAAATTAATTACCCCCAAAAATCATACATAATGTGCTCCAAAGTAATGTGAGTTAGAAAACTTGAATTTAAACCAGCTGCTTCTTGAAGCATTTTAATCAAAGGTGGACAGGCTTTGCTTTTCCTATAAAGAGCTGCCTTCCTATATAGAGCTGCAATTCCATTATCTGAATAGCTGATAGCTGTAGCTTTCTGTCTACACTGTTTGTCTTCCAATAACAATCGAGCATTTTTAGGGTTTTCTCTTAAAATATTAAGCTGATGCTTAATTCTAAGTACTTAATGCTTAGCCGCTCTCCAGACCTGTGCGAGTTCTCCTCTGTTACAGTTAAAATGGCATCAATCAGAGAAAACACTTTGAAAATTACAATTCCTGAAGTCCAGAACGCCCGACACAGTCACAACCGTTAAATCAGACTTCAACTAGTTCGGCGGAGAACATCTGGACCTAACAGTCAGACTGAAAAAGGCCACATGATAAAGGCTGATAAGCGCCTTCATTAGTTATATCAAGGGAGCTATTATTAATGTGACCGCTCAGGCATCATCATCTCTGCTCTTTCAAACGGGCTCCACATCGGAGAAGGGGAAAGAGCAGCTTTATTTCGCCTTCCTGAATCTGTTTTCCCAAAGCCTCCGTTAGAGCTGGATAACCTCTTGTCCTGCCTTTCACAGGAGAAAACAAATGTGGAGTGAGGAGAAAGTATTGAACCAAATGAAAAAAAAAATGGAAAACCTGTTCATCACAAACAACAGTGGAACGTTAACCCTCGTAAACCGAGGCCAAGAACTTGGGAGCTTTTTAAGATGTTGCTTAAAAGTGAAAACACTATAATCCTCAAAATTAAATGCATTCATTTTACTTAACTAAGAAAAATATTTGAGAACTAAATACTCTCTATTTAGAGACCTAGTTGTTATTTTCTGCCTGCCCTTCTATGAAGGCTCATCCACCCGCTCTGTTCCTTTAGTCACATTTGGACCAAATGCCGAGTTCTCTCCCACGTGGCGAAGGGGGCGTTTCTGTGACTGTTTGGATTTCCTTTCTTTTTTTTTTTTTTAATTTTAATTTGATGCCAATGGAAAAAGTATTTCTCCCTCCTTTTATTCCAGGGAATTCTTTTGCAGGAAAGTGAGTTACGCATCGCAGAACAAGGGTAAAAGTTCTTTAAAAAGTTATGAAGTTTTTAATCTCTTGAATGCCATGTCCCCATTCCCCTTGTGAACTTGGTCCTGTTCTGTTAGCTGACACCAACAGGCACATGTCTCAAACTGTCCTATCCTCCTGCTAACCACGAGGGGCTAAGCAGAACACGGAAACAACTGCGCTTTCCTAACTACCTCCAGGCAGCCAGACCAGCCGAGTCTCCACACCTCTGAGCCCTCGGAGCCTGGGTGCACGGGGACCATCCAACCTGCTGTCCATTATTTACAAGCTGCAGTGGCCCGGCGACGTCCCCCTGCTGTCACCAAACGCGCTCGGCAGCATTCCTGCTGAAACCTGGGCGGGAGGATCTTTGGTGGGTGACGTTTAGACGCAGCTTTCGGCCCATGCAGAGCCCCCGCTGCGCAGCGCCGGCCCCGGTTAAGCCCGCCAGGCTCCTCGCCTGGTTTTAACACTTACAGAAATCCCCTGTCAAGTGAACTTCTGCAGCAAAGTACTGCTGATGTTGTGAGATAACCTCTGACTCCCATGAGCTGCAGGGCTCGATCTGGGCTTGGGAGATGTAATATTCTGATAAAAAACGGCACTTCCTCTTCGAGCAGATAAGTGCGTGTGTTACCAGCACCGCTGGAACCTCAGTGAGTGCCGAGGCGAGGGCTTGTCAGCCTCTCCTGTCTCCCTCCAGCCTTTCAACCGCCCCCTTTCACACACCTAAATGCAGCAGCAATTAGCATCCATAAACCACAAGTGTGGCTTCTATTTCTTTTTATTTCACAACCATGAAAGCTAGCTAACATTCATAACGCTGAGGAAGTCGCCTGCCTCAACAGACGAGGGAATGAAGACAAAATTAAACACTTGCACTTGGCTGTGACTCCCATGGAAGAAAGTGCGTTTTTAAACTCAACTTCAAAACTCAGGGCGTGACTCTGGCCACTCAAGGGTGCATGTAAAGAAACAAGAGAAATGGAAATCTCTTCCTGGGCATCTGTCTCGCTGCTTGTCTCTCTTCTGACTAGATACAGGAAGCCCCATGGGAGCCGGGTACTTGATGGCTGTGCACAGGCGCACGCCGTGTGCACCGCAGCATGCAGCCCCGCTCCCCCGGGCCAAAAAGGGGGGGGCTTTTGTTGTTCTCCATCAAGCTTTTAATTAACATATTACCATAGTCTTCTGCTTGCCCCACATGAGCCATCCTCACAGCTGCAGCGCTGTGAGAAGGGGCGAGCGATAGGACGGGCTGAACGGCGCTCGTTGGAGGGCACCTTCCCCTGGTGGCTATGGCAAGGAGAACAGAGCAGGAGCCTGGGGGTCTGCACGGGTGTGGAGAAACACAAACGGGAGGGACAGGATTGCAACAGTCCCACTCTGCCAGGGTGCCCAGGAGGCAACCCCAACAGCTTCACTGACCCCAGTATTCTGTGACTCTGCATCCACTTTTCCGTGCATTACTTTGCTTTTTAGGGTAAGCAGAGTGGAATTTATCTGCCCAAGTGAAGATTCTACCATGCAGCCACCTACACTGAGCAACTCTCCACTAATAATGGAAGGAATCCTCGTGAACAACAGCTGCTTTGAAGACACGGAGCAGTTCAGCCCAACTAGGCACCTGGATCAGTGCACGCTGTTCCTCCCCATTGACTGCCTAGAAAGGGCTGATACTAGTTCAGTTTTAGGTGCCTACAGCACCAGTATCTCAATGAGATGAACTTAACCCTTAGCACAGTGCACCCGCTTAACTAGTGCAGCACTTTCCTCAGCTTTTGTATCTTTTGGGGCTTTGTTAAATAGATGGGCTTGTTTTTAATACAGACGTTCCAAATCTGAATGGGTTGTTTTAATCCCAAATTAAATCCTCGCATTATGGGAACAAGCCAAGCTGGCTGGGTGAGCAAAACAGAGATGGTGATTTGCTTGATTTATGTGATATGCAAAGCCTCCCTCAGAGAGCTACTCAGCAAAGCCACAGACATCATTTGCCTTGACACTAGCCCAGTTCCCTGGATGTACTTGAGAGGCCACACAGCCTGGTAGAACCCTGCATGCCTTTTCCTCGGTACGGACACCACATCCTCTAACAGGCAGCATTTTTCACTGCTTGTGGTTGAGAGCTGGCATTAATGAACACGCTCGCCGCCCCGGCAGGAATGTTCATTAATGCTGTGATTTCAGTTTATGAGCTTCTACATCAAGGAAGAAATTCAAGGCCTCTTGCTCTGCATATTTGCACTCTATCTGCATGAACTCTGGACTCCAAGGCCCTGTAAGGCTGCTGAGAGCGCAGGATCTGCCTCTTTTATCTCTAGACTTTATTCCTCTCACAGGCATGCAGGCAAAAGGGAGCCACCATCCCGAATAAGCTTTTGATCATTAACTTAGCATAATCAGTCGCGTAAGAGAGGACAATATGTAACTACTAATTTTCATCATTTAATCCCCACTTTACCTGTGGCTTCTTCATTAGACTCATTGCATTCCTTCATCTCCTCCACATTATCCAGACTTTCCATTTCTTGGGATTTGCTCAAATTACAGTCTCTCAAAATCTCCCGTCCTTCTGAAAAGGGGAAATTGTTAAAAAAATGGCAATTAACAATTTGTGCTCCAATAACATTTCCAGGCAATTACCTAAAAGTATCTGCAGGCTCCCGATACTGTTCGCAACGCTCATAACAACCTTTCCAGAAATGCATTAGACTGAGATTTGGCTGAAGAGATTTGCTTAGTTCTCTAAAACATGTATAAAAACTCTTACACAGAGACACATTATTTAAAGATACATCTGTTCTTAAAAAATAAAAAGACAATGTTCTCATCAACTTAAAATTTTAAAATTTAAAGCACTATATATCTTTTTCTTTTTTAACTTTATGAACACTTTGATAGCAAAATAAACAATTTTTTTCCCCTCAAGCTGAATATATTGAATCTTAAAAAGAAAAAAAAAGCACTTATTTGGGGCTAGCTGAAGAGTCACACACTTATCCGGCTCAAGCAGAAGCACCAAACTTGAGGCACCGTACCTGCAGCCAGGGGCTGCTCCAGGGGGTTACTTAGGTCCATACCTGCCTGTGAATCTGCAAGAGAAAGGAGAGCAGTCTGAATTAAAATTAAAACTATTCATGATATAACAGTGCCGAGCGCTGGGCAGATCAGTGAAGTCAACACAAGCTGCAGATATTTCCACCTCCCGCTCCACTGCCTGAATTTATATTGTCAAATCTAACAGAGCAGCAGATGTGGCCTGTCCAGATCAGTCTTTACTTGATCCCTTGTTGTCAGGGGACTTAATGGTCTTCAAGGTCTGACTTCACTGCACAGGGTTAGTTTTCTTACGAGTGTCACTGCTACCTGCTTCCTTCTTCCCCTTCTCTTTAGTTAACACATCAGAAACTCCGTTATCCTCTGGTAATATAAAGAAGAGCCCCAAGGGCCAAACTAATTCCCGACAGTTACGTAACAGAAATACCCCCGCAGTGGCCATGAGGTGCTAACCACCAGTGACATTTACCCTATAATTATCTATCGTTACCACCGCTTCATGGAGAACATTTTTGTGGTCTTGCAGCATCAAAATCTGCAGCTCTATTAACTATAAGTGAAAAAAGCCCAGGATCACATGAGGTTGCCCAAAGAATTCTGCATTAATAGAACTTGGGCTGCTCCTCCAAAATAAAAAACAAGCACAGAAAAGAAAAAAAAAAAAAAAAAACAGCAGATCTGCCCAACCAAGGTTTAAGCGGCGGGTTTTGTAGTCCCCCAAAAGTGCTCATCTTCTATTTTTTGATAATAGGGCTAAGAGTTACATTATGTATGTGATTCCCAGTACTGTTAACTAGCTATTAGAAAAGAGCAGCAAGAAAAAACGCATTTAAGGATGAACACGTTAATGATTCAGGCCATGCAGCAGCGGTCTGAACTCGTCAGGGTGCAACTCCTGCCTGCAGAGGGGTGGGTAATGATCACTAGCACTTGGGATGTGTATCCTAAAACTAAATCAGAGTTCCCATCCTTCCACGCACATTCAGCATGAAGGAAGTTTTGCACTGTGCCTTTTATTGGAAGCAAGCAGGTCACATTAACTTGTGTCATAAATGGAGCGCTGGAGTTAAATACATGTTCAAATATTTATTAAGTCTGTACTAAAACACGGATATGATTTTTAACCTGCCTTTGTTTCATTGTATATACTGGGAAAAATGAGGTACGAAGAAGCACACAGATCAATTATGTTACAAATACGGACGGGAAATTGCAATCACTATATGATAAATGAACAAAAATCTCATTAGTACTGATTTGATTTTACCTCAATAAATAGATACTAAAAATACACACCTTGTGATTATGCAAATGATTCATCTTTGTGCAAGATAACCCCATGCTCATTCTGAAATACTTGGGCTCCATCTTAATGGCATGCAACAGTATTGTGCAGAGTCCCATTCGACTCACGAAGCAGTGTTAACCAGCGGGAGCTCCAGGAGGCGGCACAAAGGAGGCATCTCCCACGTGCAGGCTCCTAATTCCATCAGAGTCTGGTGTTTCCAAGGGTTGTCAGGCCTTAAAAACAAAAGCTCAGGTCCCCTGGATGCTGCTCTCCATTAAGATACGCTTGGTTTAGTTCTGGATCTATGCGTTGGCTGCGAGGCGCTGCCTCCAGCCCAGGACTCTGCCTAGCAGGGGTCATTCCCCTGCAGCTGCATCACTGCTGCAGCGTCCTCCGCAACCCGGGTCAGCACCCGCTGCTGTTTCAGCACTCAAAGCAAGACCATTACGAGGTAGTAAATTGGGTTTTCACCTCTGAGCTACCTAACTGCTAGAGAACAGCATTGCTTGAGCCCTGCAATGCCTTAGCAGGGCTTTTAGTCGCTTCCCAGATGCACATCTATCCAACGCAGAGCTTGTCTACACCTGTTTATTTATGTTGTGTTGAGCAGCACCAATTCCAAGCCATGATGGGCTCCTGGGCAGTACAAGCCCTCAAAAAAAGACATGAATAATGACATTGCCAATCCACAAACATCCCAGTCTTCACATCACTTTTAAATGCCTAATATCCACTCATCTGTCCTGGTTTCTTTATGGTACCAAAGAAGCTTCTTACAACCTTAGGGGTCTCTTAGTATTTAACTTCGGCTCTCTTTTCTTAGCCAAGTATTTTATACCAAACCCTCCTCTATCACCTAAAAGCACTGGAAGGAGATGCCTGGGAAGTTCCCATTCCCATTTCTATAGAAAGAAGACCCGATTTTTACGAAACGCTGGGAAAGGCGCAGAAAGGGCAGGCACTTACATAGCACCCCACTCCAGAGAGCCCTGACTGGGGAGCACGGAGGGAGCTGCTCGCCCGAAGCTGCCGCCCGACGGTCCTTATGGAGCACAAGCAAAATTCAGGTGCCTTGAAGCCCTCCTTAGGCACCCGACGCTCCTCACCAGCGGCCAAGGCAACAGAAATAGTCAAAGGGCTCACTAGAGTGTCAGGGCATTTGAATACCCTGTTGGAGTAATGTTTTATTCTGCCGTTTGGTCAGTGAACACAAGGAACAAAGCTGCGTAGCTGCATTTTTACCAAAAAAGGGGCATTTTCCAAGTAAGTTATACCGCTGCTGGAGCATTATAAGCTGTTCTCTGCTTCGGTCATTCCAGTTTGTTCTGAAGTGCAAGGTGCATTTTGAAGAAAAAGATGTGAAAATTCCAATATAGAGATATTCAGATGCTCTTTCTGCCAATACATGTCTCAGAAATAAACACCGTGCTTAATATATAAGCACCTCTAATACTCTGAAAATAAACACCTCTAATACTCTTATATGGCACGTATCCTTTTAAACATTATAGCTTTAAATGCAAGTACACGCGCTGTTTGGGGTGCAAACACAGCAATGTGTAACTAAAGGTACGATATGATGCTCCAAGTAAGAATAGTGGGGTAACTTCTAGCAACTTGAAATATTCCAGACTGTAACAGTGGAAAGGGCAGCACGTGCTCAGATTGCTGCGATCTTTGCCAAAATCAGCCACTCCTGCAGAGACAGGACCAGGAAAACTCGCCCATTCCTGCTTACTGGAGCTCGTTCTCCAACACCTACCCCTGCAGGGACCGTTATCCGATCCATAATCAGACACTCCTCACACTGAAAAATCAAGGAGAAAATCCTGCTCCTCTTCCTCAATGGCAAATTTGCCCTTTACTATGACTTTATCCAAGACACATGAGGACAGGGACATATAACAGCTGCTGTATCCAGACATGATACAGAGTGACACCACCTTTTCCCTTAAATTCATCCTCAAACACAAGCCTTTCTGCACTTCAGATACTCCACAAGCCCCACATGCAGCGCTACAGCCCAAAGGATAATTTCCACATTAACTTCTAGGTGCACAAGAAATAGGAAGCCAAAGGAATGATCTAAAGAAAAAACAGAAGGGCAGAAACACGCTCATTTTTCTGAGACTAAACTGCAAGTTTCTGACACACCTAAAGAGCTTTCACCACCCAAAAAACATGTACAAGGATCCCAACATAATCCGCTAAGAAAACTTAATTGCACTTTAAGTGCCAGGTTGCTGTCAGACCCATCACTTGAGGACATTCTTTGCAGCTCTCAAGCTCTTATACTCTGAATTGAATCAGAGGGTATTCAAATAATCACTTTCATATAAATAAGCTTTTTAAAAATCCTTCAGCAAAGAGATGATTTTAAAACAGACAACTCAGCCCAGCTTAAAGTAAAACAAGCATTTGAGTGAGACAAGGCACAACCTAAACCATGTTAAAATCATAGGCAACAGCAGAAATAGCCCTAAATCTATATCCACATAACACCCGCGTGCCGCTCTGCAGAGCTTTTCTTATTGGATTTGTTAAAAGTTGCAGCAATTTCGCCTCCCTGCAAAAGCTGCTTCTCCCGCAGCCCGGGATTAACGCGCGGGGAGCGGCGAAAGCCGCCTGCAGTTTCCAGGAGCACCAGGAGCCAGCGCAGCCGTTAATTCAGTAAGGGCTACAACGGGCGCGCAGATAACGCGGGCTCCGACGCAGCCTCATCGCGCACGCTGGGATGCTGCTGAAATTAAAAATAATAAGAGAAAAGAGAGCGCGGGTTCCCCCGAGTGTAAGCGCGGGGCTCGCCCAGGGGTCTCACCTTCCATGCTCAGGCTGCGGCTCGGCGGGTGCGGGACTGAGCGCGGGCGCCGCCGGCCTCGCCTCTCCCCGTGGCATCCGGCCGCGCGCGGCGGGCGGAGAGCGGCGCCGGGCGGTGATGAGCGGCGGCGCCGGGGCCCGGCCCGGTGCAGGGGTTCGGCCCGGGCGGGATGGAGCCCGCGCCGCGGCCGGTAGCGCCTGGGGACACGAGAGGCGCAGGGGCTGGGCGCTGCAGTGCTCGCCATCGCAGGCCACTGGGCACGCGGTGTCACGGTCCCACTATCAGGGTCCCCGGCATCACAGTCCTCAGTGCCAGGGTCCCTAGTGGCATGATCCCTATTGCTGGGGTCCCCAGTGCTGGGGTCCCTGGTGTCACAGTCCCCAGTGTCATGGTCCCACGTGCTAGGGTCCCCAGCATCACAGTCCTCAGTGCCAGGGTCCCCAGCATCACAGTCCCCAGTGCTGAAGTCCCTAGTGCTATGGTCCCCATTGCTGGGGTCCCCAGTGCTGGGTCCCTGGTGTCATGGTACCCAGTGCTGGGGTCCCTGGTGTCACAGTGCCCAGTGTCATGGTCCCAGGTGCCAGGGTCCCCAGCCTCAGGGTCCCAAGTTCCAGAGTCCCTGGTGTCACAATCCTCAGTGCTGGGTCTCCAGTTTTATGGTTCCCTGTGCTGAGGTCCCCAGTTCTGGGGTCCTTGGTGTCACAGTCTCCAGTGCTGGGGTCCCCAGTGTCAGGCTCCTTGGCATCAGGGGTCCCTCCTGTCATGGTCCCTGGTGTCTTGATCCCCAGTGCCAGGCTCCCTGGCATCGTAGACCCTGGAATCATGGGTCCCCAACATCACAGTCCCCAGTGCCAGGGTCCCTGGTGTCATGCTCCCCAACACGGCAGGTCCCTGCTGCCAGGGTGCCCAGCAGGCCCTACCTGCAGCCAAAATCCTACGGTGACATCAGGGCAGCAGCAGGCGGGCGAGCACGGGGCTGAGCCTGGCCTTGGTGCAGAGTGCTGGAGGGGAGAAAAAATAGTGCTAGAAATGCTGCTCTTTGGAAAAAAAAACATCCCAACAAGCCCCGCCAGAGGTGGCTTCATGACATGTCCTTGTAAAGGAACCCTAAGAGGCCCCTAAAGAGGCACAACCAGGGGAATCGCAGCTGAGGGTGACACTTCCTTGGGGGCTGCCTTGGGGACGGGGGGCCGCGGTGCCGAGTGGTGGCACTGGGAGCTGCAGCTCCCCGGGCTGCTACCGAGAGGCAACGGCAGCCGCGGTGCCGAGGGGACGACGGCACCAAGGGCTCCACACGGGCACGTGGCTCCGTGCCCAGAGCGTCCTTGGGAAGCTGCGGCCCGGCTCTCCCACCGCACACGCGTCCCGCGGGACAGCTGTCGCACGGGCCCTTCGGAAGGGGCAGCCAGCGACACCCGTGGGTCCCTGAACCGCGCTCGGCGCTTTAGGGAGGTTTTCATCAAAGCCTAATAAGCGCTAATACATAAAACGCTGCCTGAAAGCCACATCTGATGATTGCTCCAGGTCATCCAAAGGACAATAGTTAGTCATAGACGGAGCCTCGCAGGGTGACAACTATTCTGTGCGGGCACATCTCATTTTTATCTACAAGGCAGAGCTCTATCTGAACGGGTGCCCAGGAGCGTGCCCCGATGCCCGCACACACGAGAGCAGAGGCTCTTCCCCTTTTCCCTTCGTGTGCCATTCGCCCTGGCTCTGCCTGCAGTCTCAGCTGTCCCACGAGCACTCCTTTCTTGGCATTATTGACTCATAAGCAACACTGCTCAGATGGTACCTTAAAATTAGATGACTGAGATAACACTAGGTTTTATCTTAATCTTAAAATATCTTTGTTATTTAAAGAAAAATCGATGTATAAAATTGTTCATTAAATTCGAAGACAAATTTCACTAAAAAAAGATTTTGTCGCTTGTTAAATGATCATTTTTGCACATCTAATGCAAAAGTCTGAAGAAAAGCTCCATCTACCCTAAGAAGTTGTAGGTATATCAGACCAACATGGTCTTTACATGGTAGTTAAGAGCTACTTTTTTTAAACCAAAGCCCAGAGATATTTACGAAGAAAAGGTTAAAGATTCTAGTTGGCCTAGATACCAAATCACCACAAATCAGCGGAGAACATCAGTACAGAACAGTCAGTTCCAGGCACACACATCAACATATATTTTGTACCTGTAGCTTGAGACTCTGATGAGCCAAACAGAGGGAAGAAAGTCAAAACCAAAATACTTCATCTGAGAGCCTCACTGATGGCTTTCATTATGACTTTAGTCAGATGTTCTTCTGGATTCTTGGAGTTATTTCTGCATCTGTTTATTAGTTTTTTACTTATTACTATATCGGGTGTAGAGGGTTGGGTTTCTTGTGTTTCTTTGGACTTGCGGCTCAGTTACAGGTTTTAAACTGCAAAATTAATGTGCTGTGGTACGAAGGCCAACGGAGAATTAATGCATCTTGCTCCTTGAATGCAGATGGTTCCACAAAAAGGGTCCGACAGACATCGGCGGGACTTACACAGCTGCAAAAATCTAGATGTTAATAAAATGGGAAATTAAATATTGATGTTACCTCTTCATTTGGAAGATAAAGCTGACTAGAGCGAGTGTCCTTTCCCATGGATCCAGCGTGCAATGACTAGACAACATGGAGACACGATTCTTATACTTACCTTCTGTGCCATCTCAAAGAATGCTCCTTACAGTGCTTTTTCCATCACATCTAAAAGGATTCTGTGAACGCAATATTAAAAAAAATAACCAATAATAAGCCCACTTCTCTGCTAGTCTGGACAACAATTTCCATTCCCGAACTAGTCATGTTCCTATTTAAGGGAAAAGGTTTCTGGCTCCCATGGAACCTACTGGAAGCTCTGGAACCTACTGCCTTGATGACTAGAAACATTCTATTTTCCAGACAGAAATTATTGTCATATTAGTGATTTGACTAACAGCACAGATGCGGAGCCTAAGCACACACAGATCCAAAACTGCACACCAAGCTTCCTCGCAAAGATGCCACTTCACATAACTAACAGGTTGGATATTGAAAGGACAGCTAAATTACAGTGGGGTATAAACATCCTTTGGAACCGACGATGTTCAGACTGAGATATGACTAGATTATAGCAGATGCGTTAAGAACTGAATCATTTTGCCTACACGGTAAAAGCGTAAAATGTTAACTTTGAGTAAAACTGAAAACGTTCGAGACGGCGGAGCGCTGGACCTCCTTGAGGTGGTCCTAATTGCAAATTATTGAGCCCCTCGGGGACATTAAGAATGAGACTCTGAGCGATTTCTTACACCTTAACCAGCCAGCAGACACCGTGCCTTGGTCTAACGAAGTGTGGGATATGGCTCCCCTGCAAAGAGAGAAAAGTGCAATGGTGAGGCGGTGCATTCAGCAAGGCAAGGGCCCACAGAAGACACAAAATGAGGGTGACTCGTTCAGAACACTAGCAGACTTGAGAAAACCTGTTAGTAGTTTCCTTTGATAATTTAATGCCTCTGAGACCTTTTTTTCAAAATCCTTTTTCGTATACTTTAAGGAAAATCTGTAACTTAAAATCCTAACATCGTTTCACAACTTTTACATGGAAGTGCTAATTAAAACCTTTATAAATAGCACTAAAACAACTCCCACGCTGGCCAAGTCCGTATTTGCTAATGCAAATACCATTACATCGTTTTTGGACCCCGGCATGGTGCAAGGCTGTGGTTCACACACACACCAACACTCGCTCGGTGTCTGATCCCGAGCACATGCATTGCCACCCTGCCCAAACACCAGCACCATGAGCCCAACGTTCGTGGCTGTTTTCTGCACCCACGAATTCTAAAAGCAATAATATTTCTACTTTCGGGAGCTTAAGCTTTGCAAGCAGGCCTTCCAAAACACGCAACTGGCTTCGAAACCACAAAGTACGTGAAGAACTGTGGCATTCTGCTCTGTTTTCGAGCCAGCAGGATATACCCAGCTCTTATTTTTCGCTCTTGTTTTCTCCTCACAGCGAGCAGCAGGAATGTCTCGGGGTTTTTCAGGCTGACAGCAGCTCTCCCCCAAGGAGCTGGGGCAGAGGGCGGCACGTGGGGCTGCGCCGCTCGCCGTTACCTCGCGGCGTGCAAGACGCCGGCGGGACGTCGCCGTCTCCCCGCCCGCGCTTTCCAGCCGGTAAAGGGTGGAAAGGCCCAGTTCCCGGGCTAGGGAGGGAAGCGGCACCCCACGAGGGCCGCGTGGAAGTGTTTCCTATGGCCGGGGGCCGCACGGGAGGGCGGCCGGCATCCGTGGGCCACCTTTTCCTAACACCTGCGGCGGGGGTAAAGCCTAAAAATAAAGAATTTTAAAGCAAAGGGAGCGGGCGCGGGTGGGGTGCGTGGAAAAGCACCGCGGGAGCCCCGGGGCGCTGGGGTTTGCGGGCGAAGGGGCCGCCTCGGCGCGGGCCGCGCGCGGCCGCCTCAGGAAAAGGGCGGGAAGAGCCGTTAGCGGGGGCGGGAAGGGCGGTTGGCGTCGCGCGGCGGCCGTTGCCGGGGGCGGGCGGCCCCGCTCGCCATGGCCGCGCCGCGGCGCCTCCCCGCGCGGGGCCTCCTCGCCTTGGCCGCGCTGCTGGCGGCGGCGCCGGCCGCGCCGCCAGGTAGGGCGCGGGGGGCGCCGCTTTTGGGGGGAATAACGCCGGCTTTGGGGCCGTGTCCCCGCTGCGGGTCACCCCGGGCCGGCGGGGCCGCAGGGGCTCTCCCTGCAGCGGGAGCCTCTGTTGATTTTCACACCTGCAGGTTCCCCTGGTGCATCCTGACCTTCACCCGCAGCCCATGCCTGCCTCGGGACTCCTTAAAAAAAAAAAAACTTTATTTTGGTTTAATAATAATAATTATAAAGGCACCTCACACCCCTCTGCTTCACAGTCCCCTCAGGAGCCCTGCAGAGACCCTTACTTCCCATTTAGCTTTTGCAACTTGTCTTCTTTTTTATGTCTTCATTCCCCCCCTTTTTTCCTTTTTTTTTTTTTTTTTTGGAAAGAAAGTTTCTGTTGATTCATGATCTCTCTGTTCAATATGCTCCAACCCTGGCATTAAAGTAGCAAAAACTGCTAAATCCAGACCCTGCGAGAGCCTGTTTTTAAGAGAAGGGCAAGTGGGAGGAGACGCGCACGCCGCTCGGCTTCTTTGTGACTCTGTGATCCCTTTTCTCTGCAGAGAGAGCTGTAACTGAGAAAGAATATTCTGCTGATGTATTTAAAAAGAATCATATTTATGGCAACATCAAGCGAGAAGGTAAAATGGCTTTTTTTAAAAAAATGCCTTTAATTTTACAAGTTTAGAAAGCACAGTGATAATCATGTAAATAATGCTACATGTGGAGATGATGCAGTATCTGTTATAGCAGGCCCTTTTTAGCCATAATCATGTACAAGAATGTAAGGGATCAGCTAGAGAAAGCTCATTTCAGATAAAGCAGGTAAACATGTAGTTCTCTTATTTTATTCCATTTTTGTCTACCAGTTAGCTGACTTCGTACATCATTTTCACTCCACAAGCAGCTTACTATCACATTTCATTGTTAAATTTATATGAATAGACTTAGGTGAGCAAACATTGCTTCTGAAGCAATGTTAAGTACCTCGCGCTAGAAATATTGTATCCTAAATTGTTAATCTCTCCTTCAAGAATAATAAATTGAAGAGCAGCAAGGGGCAATTTACGCCTAATGGCAATTCTTAATGCAACCTCACTTAGCTAAATATGGTGCTAAGGCCTCCAGAATATGATTGTAACCGTATAGAGTAAAGGAGGTGATGGCTTTAGAAAAACATCCCTGCTGTGGAGCTTCTTCAAGCACTGGGAGCATGTGGTACCCCAGGGAGCAGCTGAGCTGCAGGCTCCGAGGCTGGTTGATGCTCTCGAGACCTGAGGGTCCTTCTGCCCCCCATCAGCACCAGCCACAGCACGGACAGTTCCGTAAGAGCAAGGATGCACCAGAAACCCACATAATCCTGACTTCATTTTCCATGTTGGAGCTTTAGAAAGTATAAGCTTAAGTACAGCTTTGAAGCAAGTATTTTGATAATTTAACTCCAGATAGACAGGGCAGGTCTTTTACCTTATTCTCTTGTATTTCAGTGAGTGTCTATGTTAAAGTATTTACAAATAGCCCATTCCTCGTGTGTATGGATTTAGGCCTTTCTCAAGAAGAAATAATAGATCCCACCTATCTGTGGATTGGTCCAGATGGAAAAAACTTACAAGGTTAGTTACTTTGTCCTGAGTACAACTAGTCTTCACTCTTCCTACCTTAGCCATTTTTTCCAGTCACCCATAGGAAGTTTTTATAGAAACCTCACATACATAGAAACAGCCCTGAGCGTGTGGAGGGAGGGGTTGGGAACCAGGAAAATGTGCTGAGACAGAAAGCAGAAACCGTTTCTCAACTATTTACAAGGGAAAATGAGTCAACCACAAAAGGCCAAATAGATTTGTGTGTGAGATCATGTATTTTCCTTTGTTTCTGTTGATGCCATCCTACATCAACCCAGCTGGTGGGTCCCAAGAGTCACACGGTCCCTTGTCAGTTTTTCCCCTAAAGCTCTGACACTGAGACTGTTTTCTTTCTCCCTCTAAATTTTCAAATGCTCAGTATAAAAAGAAACTTGTAATAAGTCCTAGAGTTCATTAATTATAAGATGTTTCAGTCCAATATGAATCAGGATTTTGTTGTAAACAAAAGAACAATCTCATCTTTACGTTCTAAAGTAGAGCATCAGAACCCAAATATTTCCAGTAATTAACTATTTCCCATTTCTGTTCTAGGGCAAACATATGTGAATCTTACAGCAACAGGAAAGCTGATGGTGAAGCGTTTTAAGGAGTCCATGTCTGGAGCGTACACTTGCACTCTTTCTCACAAGATCATTGAAACCGATGCACAGGACGAGACGGAGGTGTCTGAAGCGTACAAATTCATGGTCTATGGTAAGATCACCAGTCTACTCATGAACTGATGCACGCAGCTTCCGTAGCCTGATGGCGTTACGGAGTGCGTGTTTATCTGAAGTTTTGATAACAGAATTAGTTAACACCATCCCAGAGAGAAGTATTCTGTCCAATTAACACCTGCAGAGAACTCATGGCAACCTCAAGAATGAGATAATTCCTGTCCTCTACAAGACCAAGGTGAACTACAATAATTCCTGTGATACTCAAGACTAGCAGAGGAATCTCAGGTCTGAGCAGCCTCCTTTCAGAGGAGGCACCACAGAAACACACTGTGTTTGAGTCCTGCCCATTAGAAATGGTGGTTCATGAATATCACTTCCTTACCCACCAAAAACACCACAAAAAAATGAGTAGAAAGAAAATGATTCCTTTTGTTTTAGCCATTTCAAAACATTCACTCTCAAACTAAAATTGCATGGATTTTTTTTTTTCATAATTCCAGGACATTTTAGTAACTAAGCTTACAGACTCTAAAATGGTCTTGTTAGTTCCTTTGTTTTAGTATTTGTCATTTTCTTAATACTTGGGAGCAGAGCCTCAGGACTTGCTTACTTCTAAATAAAGGCTTATATTTAGGATGCAGAGTACATTTAGGATGTAGAGATAAGATGCCGTGTAAGATGTTGTGATTATCTTGCTGTACTCATTCACAAATCTTCTTTCAAGCATACAGGGAACCCGACTATACATACAAGATATCTGTTCGCTTCACTACCAAGGAATGCAAACTAGTAGCTAACAACAAGTTCTTTGAGGAACTGAAGAGAATCCTGGATAATATACTCTCTGATCTGGCGTGTCATGTCATAGAGCCATCGTATAAGTGCCATTCAGTCAAGATACCAAAACAGAGCCTCCTGCATGAGCTGTTTATTACATTTCAAGGTAACAGACATAAGTTCAGGAGGAATCCGTTCATTTTTAAAATGAAGGAATTGTGTAAGCATCTGAAGTTATATTAGTGACATATACCTTCCAAAGTTGTTTCCCTTTTTTGGTCTCCCTGTATTTTTTCTTAGCAGCCCACAGATGGAGCTAAAATGCAGTTTATATGTTGAGCTTGTAATAGTTCCTAAGGTTAAGAAATACAACGTGTTACTTTAAGGTGTAGAGTTCGGAAGAATTGTGGAAAGAAGGTAATTGAGAGCACGTGTCATGATTCTTCACCATTGCAATCACAAAAGGAAAAAGGTCATAGTCATTTTTCCTTATTTTAATGAAAAAACCCTTTCTTATCCAAGTTGACAGTATTTTTAATGAGCCTGACCTCTGTGGTTTTACTTGATTCTAGGAAATTGGGCAGAGATTAAAAGCAAAAGCTTCGCAGCTCCCTTATGGTAATAGCAGGGAGGCTGTTCCACCGCACAAAACAGGTTAAGACAACCCTGATGGCTGCCCTAATTTAAAGCGACTGTGTCGCCGAGGAAAGGAAACTCTTTGTGTTTTGGCCACATTTTCTCCCGTCTATATTCTCATCACACGCCAAGAGATTGCCAGTGTTTTCCAGGGTTAGCCTGAAGATACAAGTTACAGATACATTCATTGTAATGTATTTTTCAAAGTACATACATGAACATCTTCTTTTCTCTCCCCCAGTAAACCCTTTTGCACCAGGATGGGAAGAAGTTTGCAACCACCTTCCTTATGACTGTGAAGATGAAACAAACAAGAGAGTTCAAGAGGTTGTAGCAGCTCCTTTGTCTTCTCTGCACATTAAAGATGAATTTCTACTTTAGCAGCTACAGATTTGACTCAATTCAGCTTGCCCAAGTTTTTCTGGAATGAATAGCATTGTAAATGATGGTTTATGGATTTCTAGTAATTTGACCAAAGATGGAAAATTGTTTTTAAAAGTTGAAGCAAAATTTTGTTGAAGAATAAGAGAAAGACTTAATCTTTTTTCATATTTACTTCATAAAGTAGTAAGATTTTGATAAGATTAGTATATTAGTATATTGTACTTCAAATCTTATAAACTAGATATTTGCATTGTGATTTGGTAAATGGAAAACAGTTTAAAATAAATCTGCTGAGGTTGATCTTTAAATCTCTAGCTTCTTAACGTGCATGTGCCACCACACTGCAATAGCAGGTCTGATTCCAGGTCCTCTGAAGCCAAGGGAAGACTCCAGTTAAGGTGGCAGGTTAGAAATATAAAGTACTTGCTGATAGCCAGATTGTAATTTTTTCTTGATTATCTTTTTCTTCTTCTTATGTTTCTAAATTCTAGGCAAGAGACCGTATTGAAGAGTTTTTTAATAAACAGACATATGCTTTGAAGCATGACTTTCAAGCTCTGCCTACAATACACTATGTGGATCACAGCTTTGAAGTTACTCGCATTGACAGCTGCCGACCAGGCTTTGGGAAAAACGATATCACCCACAACGACTGCGCTAGTTGCTGTGGTAAATATAAGATCCATTAATTTACGGTTTGGATACTGGCCCTGAGCACAGCTCCCCCTAAGGAATACCTTTTAAATAGCCCTTTCACACATAACTGTATTTCTATTTGTCTTTTGGAAAGCCATTCAAACTGCAGAAACCTTTCTTAGGGCATTAGGAAACATAACTCTGCTTCAAAATAGATTAAGTGAAAGCAGTGAAATATCTTTTTGAGGTAATTTCTCAGCAGTAGTATTGACAATTAAGGGCAAATAAAAATCGTAATGATGCTGCCCTGAAAGCGTCTGTGTGATTTTCACAGATGTGCTTGACAGGACCTAGTTCTGGATTCAGAGTTAGTGAGGGAAAGGCATCCTCGGTAGAGGTCCAGAACAGCTGTAGCTGCGTAGCCTTGTCCGATGGTCGTGGTTCCTGTCCAAGGTAACGGGAAGCTGACAAAAATACTGTAAATGTGTTTTGTTTGCAGTGGTTTGTGACCCTGGAACATACAGTCCTAACAATGAAGTGACCTGCCGAACTTGTGTAAGAACTCAAATCAAACAGTATGGAGCAAAATCTTGCTAACGAACTTAGAAAAATAAAATTGGAAAGTGAAGAGGAGTTGTGAAAGCTTTGTCGTCATGTTCCTTTTCTTTCTAGTTACCATTGGGGAAACCTGCACTCACTGCTCAACAATAGCCAGAGCCCATCACTCAAAATCCTACAGTTTTGGTAATCAGGAACCTCTCAGATTATAAAAACAGGTACAGAGTGTTCAAAATCAACACAAGGAAGAGGATATCAAGAAAATTACGATGTCGGCCATGTGGTTTTTAGCAAAAAAAAAGCCTGGTTCTCTGTGGTGACACCAAGCAAGCCCCAGCTGTGCACTCTGGCTTCACATTGAGGAGTTATAAACAGCTCAGGGGACAATAAGAGATAGTCGTAGTGAACTGCGGATCATAATGACATAAATTATATATTAATATTACCTGCTAGAAGCTGCTCTTGCCAGTTGGAAGTATTTAATCTTCATAACTTAAGAATAAAATATTAGTTGCACTTCCCTTTGTTTTTGCCTATTTTTGACAAAACAAATCCTGTCTGAAATGTTGCAGCCTGCGCTGTGCAAAGCTGGACGATCCCCTGGACGAAGCGCCGGGACGTCTGCCCGGAGCCCTCCAGCTGCCGCCAGCAGTGGGAGCTCTGCTGAGGATGAGGATGGCCCGGGAGCAGCGCAAAAGCAAAGTTTTAGAGCCCGAGCGGGTCCCCGGGAGACAGGTTTGATACCGAAGCCTGGCTCAAAGGCCGCAGGAGCGACGGATGCAGCCTCCGCAGCGCGCTCAGCAGCTGCTGCTTCCAGTGGGGAAGCGACAGCGACAGGGAGGAAGGAGGAGAGGGGCCGCACTGCCACATCTGCTCCCGTCCACGGCTGCACGGTGGCGGCTCCTGGCATCGTTCTGCAGGAGCTCTGGCTGTGCGAGCAGAGATTGAAGCTCCCAACAAATCTGCTCGATCAGTAAGAAATCGAGAAAGGAGCTGCCCAAGCACCAAGACACCAGAGACGTTCTCCGCGGAGCACAGCGGCAGATTTCAGATCTCTGCAGGCAGCTCTCTTGCCTTAGCCATACTAGAAGGTGCATGAGGCACCCTCGTCCTCTCCCACAGCCCCTGCGTGGGCACACGGGGGGCACCGAGACCAGCACCCTCAGAGCCATCCCTGGCTTTCCACAAGGAATAGTCCATATACCATCGAGTCAAGCAAAAAAAAAAAAAAAAAAAAGATCACCTCTATCAAATCACTGGCATCTAGCTCTTCCTCGGTGGACAGTCATCCAAAAACCAACCCGATTCTACCCACTTTAACTTATCTAAGCTGACAGGAACACAGCAGGAGACGGCACGGGCACAGACCGCGCTCCGAGCTTTCCATATTCATTACTTATTAAATACTGACGAATAAAATGCACTGTAACAAGAGCATTTAAACTGCCTGGGGGCTGATTATCTCAGCTGCCAACTGGCCATTCTGAGCACTGACCAGGCTTGTGCAGATTAAACAGAAGGGCACCCTGTGACTGCTCCATGCATTTCTTGGCCTATTTCACAGGAGAATAGCTCACAGAACACAACCACATGCGCAAGTTCGACAGGGAGGAAAGTAGAGTAGCAAGTAGATATTAAATGTAATGGCTACCAAGTCACAAAGGGACATTTATCTGCTTCTCATTTCTTCTCTGTCAATGCTCAAGAAAGAAAAGGTTGCAGATGCATTTAATGCACTGATTTTTTTTTCCAAAGAGCCTTAAGAAATTGAAGAATAGGTTAAATGCTTCGATGTTGTCCCAGCACAAACAGCCTCGTGTGAAACGGGTCTGCCCTGACCTTCCTGGCGCACAAATGCTCTTTATCCAGCCTGAGCTTCTACTCACAAGTTCTCACAAATGCCAGATTTGAAGCTTAAACCGCAGGCCCATTCCCTGCTCCTGTGACACCTCATCCTCCCAAGCAGCTCCCAGCAGCACAAACTTCTCCAGCCACATCCACACAGCCCGGTGCAGCAGCCAGCTGGACACGGCAGCCCATTGTTTTACTGGCAGCGCTGGATTTTCCCAGCCTGGAACACGCCAGAATAGAAACACTTCACAACCACATGTTCAAGTACTCACCGTGGAGCCGCTGCGGCCAGGAAGCGGCCGCCACGCAGGATCATCCCGCTCCGGCTGAGCTGGAGGGGTCATGCTGGTCCCCAGGACAGCAGAGCCACACGTGGCAGCTCCCCACAACACACCAGGAAACAGAGGCACTTCCAGCAGGTTTTAAGTAACAGGGCTCTGCAAGGAGGAGGAGAAGAAGGAGGAGGAGGAGGAAGAGGGTGATTGGTGCCTCCTGGGCAACTCATCACACCTGCCCTCGAGCCTGTTCCCAGGAGGGGCTGAGACCTGGGGTTACACATGGGGCATTTCCAAAGGACTCCAGGTTGCGACTCCCAGCACCCCACGGAGAAGCTTTTTGCAGGCCAGGAGCCAACGGTGCCACTTGGCTGCTCTTTCCAGGGTCCTGGAGTGGGTCAGGACCCCCAGGAGGCAGCGCTGGGACAGTGGGTGTTAGGGCTGCCGCTGCTGGGCACTCTCGGACACGGCCGGGCTCCGTGTGGCAAGGGGATCGTTTCCTCTGCGGAGCCTGGAGCCAGCTCCAAACGCTCAGTGCTCGGACACAGCAGCCCCAGCAGCACCGTCCTCGATGGGCCCGAGCGTTTATATAAAATTAAGCGTGTTTTCAAGTGCTCTGCTGAACTGAAACGGAAATACATAAATATAAAGAGGCAGAGCTGCTTCCTAGCCCCTAAATCCCATCTGGGAGGTGGGATTCAACCCATCCACAGCCCGGGTGGATAGAGATGTCCCCACGCGCGGCTCTTCCCGAAGTCCAGGAGGCTCCACGGCTCCCTGACCTCATTATTAATACTCTTATTAATAGGCACAATCTCTTCTTTAAACACAAAACCGTGGGGGAAACGAGAGCGGGTGCCCGCATCGGCGGCACGAGGAGCAGCCGGCAGCGACGCGGGGCACCGGGCCCTTCGCTCTGCTCTCCCCAGCGCTATGTCTCCGGGCGCAGAATTCCAGCGGCCGCGTTTTGCAGCCTCCTCCACTCACTGTGGGATTAACGAGTCCTCCGCAGGCAGCGAATGAGCGGGATTCGTTACTGGCAGCAACGCTGCTGCAAATGGATTCCCCCTCCCCCCCCCCTTTTTTTTTGTGGTGAAAATAAATAAATAAGCCCGCATAATCGAAGTGTAGCCCAGCGTTAATCACAGGGTAATTGCTGCCATCAGTCCTAATTATTTATAAATATTTTTATAATTGTGGAAATTAAACAATTCGATATCCTTCCTTCCCCCTTCCAAATCGAATAATTTGGGAGGCCAGGACAGGGTCTGGGGCCGCGGAGCCGGTTCTGTGCGCCGGCGGGCGGGGATTTCCTTGGCCGTCCCTTCAAGGCACCGCCGTGCAGAGCTCGCATGCGGCACCAGCCCGCGCGGGCACCCAGCCAGGCCCGCACGTGCGCCCGGCTCTGCTCCCGTCCCCAGGGCACCATGGGGGCCAGCGCTGCAGCCCACGGGGTGGCACCAGCGGGGCCGGGGGTGGCAGCGGGGTGGCTGCGGGCCCTGCACGCCCCTAGGCCGCCCAGCTGCTCACGGGGCCACCATCTGCTCCAGAGCCCAGGTGCGTGGCCGGGCAGCAGATGGGTCAATGCCACATACGCCTTACTGTCGCACTGCATTAGGCCGCATGTTTCGCCCGCTGTGCTGGCAATGGGGCTGGGCAGTGGGGCTGCCTCCCCGTCCCGCTGCTCCGGGTCCCTTCCGTGGGTGCCGTGGCAGCGGGAGACGCCACGCAGTGACCCAAGGCGGGCAGCGAGCCGGCACGGCACCGGCAGCGCCCGCGCTGCTCAGGTTACCACAGCGGATCCCCTTTCCCGCAGCGTTGGCCCCGGAGCAGATCCAGGGGCCACGTCCTTCAGTCACCCCTTACGTGCAGCACCCCAGGGTGCCGCGTCCCCACGCACCAGCACCACGCGGACCCCAAGTAAAAGGCGCCTTTATTGTTGTACAAAGAACATAAAAGGTCCCTTGGAGGCAGCGTGAGGGCAGGTGCTGGTGGGCTGTGCGGCGTGGAGCTCCGGGGCCGTGGCCGCAGAGCAGGCACTTGTGGAGGGGCGCGAGGCGCCACAGGCCCCCCAGCCGCCTGGCCCCGCTGGGGACTGCACAGGTGCCTGGCGGTACCGGGGCTGCTTTGGTTGGTGCTCTGGGGGTTAAGGCAGTTGGGTCTCGGCTGCCGGCAGCCCGGGCACAGTGAGCGGTCGGTGCCCCCGGCGGCGGGGGCTGCTATCCCCCACGCTTCCCGCACACATTCCTTCCCTGTTCCGCGTGTCACTACTTTCCTGCCCGCTCCCTCCACGCGCCACAATCCTGCAGTGCTCCTGCCCACTGAGCCCGGAGCCACAGCACCGTGGCCAGGGTGGCCTCCAGCACCCATCTCCTTAATGCCCCGAGGGACTTCCGCAAAAGAAAGAAAACGGGTTAAAATGACGTGTGTCTGTGCAGGCTGGGCCCCCTCCGACGCTCTCCCAGCTCTGATGCTCCTCCCGATGGCTCCACACGGCAGCAGCCAGCACAGCCCCGTGCCGGCGCTCACACCACCGTGCTGACGGTGGACGACTCCTCCGAGCGCCGCTGCTTGCTGGGCAGCGACTTGAGGTACTCGAGGTGCCGCCGCGCGTCCTCCTGGTTCTGCCGCACGTAGTAGACCAGGTAGGAGATCACCATGGCGAACCAGCCGAACATGGTGACCAGCATGGCGATGTCCGTGGTCCTCTTGTAGGCGTTGCAGAAGTCCGTGTGTGCGATGACCTGCAGGAAGGCCTTGCCCACATGCTCCTCGAGCGCGGCGGCCTCGCACACGATGCCACCCGCCGAGCCAGCGGCCAGGGCCACGGCGCGGATCAGCTCCTGCAGGCGGCAGTCGCAGAGCCAGGGGTTGTCGGAGAGGTTGACCTTGGCCTTCAGGTGGCCGACAGCCTCCTTGCTGAGCGACACGAGCCTGTTGGAAGACAAGTCCAGGGAGCGCAGGTGGTCGGCCAGGCCACGGAAAGCGCCGCTCTCGATGCCCGCGATGCTGTTGTGCGACAGGTCGAGCTCCAGCAGGAGCGGCAGGTCCCGGAAGGCATCGCGGGGCAGGAAGGGGATGCGGTTGGAGTCCAGATAGAGCTTGTGGGTGTCGTTGGGAATGTCCTTAGGGACCTCGGTGAGGCGCGCGTGGCTGCAGCGGAACGTCTTGAGGCCGCCCTCCTCGGCAGGGTAGCAGCCAGGCGGGAAGGCGGTGGCCGTGCGCACGCCGGAGGCCGCAAGCAGGAGGCCGGGCAGCAGCAGCCACGCTGGCAGCAGCTGCTCGCCCATGGCGCCGCGTCCGCATGCTCGGCGCACCCTGCGGCGGGACAGCGAGGGTGAGCGTGAGCGTGCAGGAGCAGTGGGCCCTGGCGAGCACCAAGCTCACCGGGAGGCTACTCCAGAGCCGGTAGGAGAGCCACAGCACCCCGCAGCGAGCGGCTGCCCGGGACGCCTCCGCTCGCGTAAACTGGCTCCATGTAAACCAGCCCTTCCCGCCCAGTGGACACCAGGCTCTGCCAGCCGAGCAGGCCCTGCCGTGGCCCCAGCTGCCCGCACCGCCTGGCCACTGCCTTCATCCAGCCCTTTATTCCGGAGGGGAAAAACGTCACCGGGAAAGAAACAAAAACAAGGAGAGGAAATTTGCTTCGGCTGTGCACAAGTTCCCAGGGCGGCGGTGGCAGATAAGGGCTGCGGCGCAGATCTTGTCCCCCGCCTTTCCCAGCCGCTGCCACTGCGAGTGGATCATCCTAGCCCTGCAGTGCTGGGATGTGGAGCCTTTCCCAGGCATCCGGCGCCTGGAGCATGAAGGGGACCCCGAGGGCACAAGGGACTCCCAGGGAAGGGGCCGGCCCAGTGCCGGTGCCGGTCCTGCTCCCGCAGGTGCAGGTGCCCCGGCCAGGAGCGGGCGGGAGTTGGGCTGGGATCCCGCGCTCCCCGCTGCACCTCGCAGCGCGCCAAGGTCACGGAGGCGGCGTCACGTCGCGGGGGGACCCGGCCACGTGCCCCTGCAGCTCCGGGCCCCTGCTCAGGCCCTGCTGCAGCGGCACCGGCCAAGTGTGGCCCGAGGTGGAGGGTGTCCCGGGGGTGACACAGACACCCCAACCGCCCCGCAGCTCCAAGGACCCCCGCCGGGCACCCGCGGAGGTGCTGGCTCTGAGCGGCGCCAGTCTGGTTGGGAGCCGTCAGGGCCGCCCGCCGCGGAACCGCCGCCCTGGAGATGCCCAGGTTTCCCCGTGGCGACCGGTCCGAGGGAAGCCCCGGGGCTTCCCAGGGACAGCCCGAGCTGCGGGGACCCCCGCTTTCCTCCCTCCCGCCCTCTCTCCCAGCGGAGAGGCAGCTCCCGAGCGCCAGCCGCGCTGTGGGGGAAGGGGGTCCCGGAGCCCCGGCCACGCCGCGGAGCGGGTCTCGGCGCGGACTCACCTGCCGTTGCCGGCGCAGCGGCCCCGCGCCTCGGGCCGGAGCGGCCGCGCCCCGCGCAGCGCGGCGGGCCCGGAGGCGGCGGCGGGGCCGGTGGGCGGGCTCGGCCGGCCGGGCCTCCCCGGGGCTCCCCGCCCCCGCCCGGCCCGGCCCGCCCCGCCGGGGGGGCTGCCGCTCTAAGCCCCGCACTCCGGGCGCTGCCCTCCCTCCCCTCCCCTCCCCTCCCCGCGCCGCCCCCCGCCCCGCTCCGCCCCGCGCCCCCCGGCGGCTCCCGGATCGGGCAGGGGCGACGGGACCCCAGGAGCCGCAGGAGCCCCCGCCGTGTGTCCCCCTCCTCTCCTCCCCAGCCGCCTCCGCCTCGCCCGGCACCGCGATCGCTTACACGGGGAAACCGGAGCCGCGGCGGGGAGCGGAGCCTCCGCGGGGGGGACTCCCAGGCCGCCTCCGCCGCCGCAGGGGCCCCCCCGCAGCGCCCAGGTAGCCCTGGGCCCGGCCGAGACAGTGGTGGCCACAGAGGGACGCGAGGCTCGGCCAGGAGCCCCGGGGCGGCCTGGGCGGGGGTGCTCTGGGAATCCCCCCGCCCTGGCCCGGGACACCGGCAAGCCCAGCTCAGCACCATGGAGAGCGGCCGCCGTTGCCGGTGCCCTCCCTGCCCGGTCCGGTGCCGCTCCGGGGGGAAGCGCCTGGCCGGCCGGCTCCTCTGGGAGCTGGAGCAGCCGCAGCAGCCGCAGCCCCTGCGAGGGCTGCCGGGACTGGGCGCTGCGGCCCACGGGGATGCGCCGGGATGGCCGGGGGACACCAGAGCGGAGCAGGGCGGGCGCGGGGCCCCGGCAGCCGCACTGCCGCAGGAGCCTCCGGCTGCGAGAGCAACAGGGCCGCCTAGAAACGGAGCTCGGCGGCGGCCGGCGGCGGCGCGGGGGGCAGGAGGCGGCGGGAGCCGGTGCCGGGAGCCGGGGAGGCCGACGCGCTCCGGGGATGCCCGCGGGGGCGGCCGCGCCGCGGGGACCAACGTTCACGACGCTGTAAAAACAGCTGCCGCTCCGGGCGTCACCGCGCGGGGGATCTGCTCGCGCGGGCGGCACCGCCGATAAAAATAGCGGCGCTGCGCGCGTGACCGCGCGGTATCCCCGCCCGCGGCAGCCCTGCCCGCGGGATCCCCGTCCGCAGGATCCCCGCCGCGGCATCCCCATCCGCGGGCATCCCTGCCCGCAGCATCCCAGCCACCGGCCCCGATCCCGCGGGATCCCAGCCGCGCGTCGCCTTCCCGCTCACGGGATCCATGCGAGTCTTGTGGGGTCCCCGGGGGATCCCCTTGCGGAGGAGGCCGTGGGTTCGACCCACGCGGGGGGCGGTGTCCCCCGTGCGCCGGGCACCGTGTGGGGAGTGGAGCGGGCAGGGGCCGAGGGGCCCCGCGCGCTCCCGGCTTCGGTGGCGGCGGGAACAAAGACGGGGCCGGCGGCTCCCCCCGCATGCGAGAGGCGGAATCTGCGGGCCCAGGGCGCTGCTGCGGTGTGTCCCGGCGGGACGCACCCCGCTCCGGCAGCCCCGGCTCACGCGTGCCCAGGGGATGGGCTGCAGGGGAACACCAGAGGGGCCACCAGCCTGGCGGCCCCAAGCACACAACCAAGGGACAGAGCGGCTCCCCCGGTGCTTCCAGGCGCCCCGCTCCTGGACGGGCTCCCGGGAACCCTTCCGCTCTGACCCCCGCTCCCGCAGAGGCTCCCCGGCACCCGCGGGTCTGACGGCGGCGCCGGTGGCGCACGGCGGC